CTATCACCTGGTTTTCTCTTATTACCTGCAATAACTCATCTCTAACAGAAAATATAGGAAGATACTGTCGTTGCTCTGCAATGGTCTTTGACATGGCAAATTCACTCACAGCTTCTCCATTCTTCATATGTTGTGAAAATTTAACCTCGCCTTTAAAGTCTACTTCACCTACTTCAATCTGCTCAGCTGATTTTTCAACACCAAGGATATTACCAAGGTTAGAACCTTCAAGCTCCCAAAACCTCTTCCGTGACTTATGCATACTATGTTTCTCCCGGATTTCTCTGACGAGACACGAACCTTTCCGTGCGATTATAGCCATGTCTGATGCATGATCCTTTACAGGCATTACTGGCTCCATTTGCTTTGTGAAAACGACTCTTCCATCAAGGAAAGGAGGCTTCGTATCGTGTACGAGAAGTATTGCTTTCTGTTCTTCTTCCTCGCTACCAAACTCAATCTGCGATTGTGTGTCTTTAACAGCTCCAGATCTGAGAAGCTGACGGTCTTCCCACTGAGAAATATCTGCATTAAGATGAGAGTGAGCGAGTGACATTTTGCTACCGTCCCTTCTAACAAGTCTTTTCGCCATCTCAGCTTCCTTCTTCTGTAGAGAAGCATCATCTCCAAGAAGAAACGATGCATCAAACAGTGAGTTGTTCCCTTCGTCCGTATCATACCATGCACGATCAGAGTGATATTCCATCCCCGAACGCATTGTGTCCGTGATATTCTCATGGTTATATAGCGATGTAGACTTTGTAAGATCACTTGAGGATCTAACAGAGGATCCAGAAGCCCGGACAGGAACAGGAGAAGCACAAGACATTGGTCTATCCAGCCACGGAGAGGCTAAACGAGCATCAGGCTTGCTGTAACTAGATTCTTTTCTCCTATCGCTATCGTGTCTTGCACGCTTTGCTCCATGATAATCATTAGTGTTTCTCTGCTTTCTTGACCTCGGACTAGTTTCACTTGTGCCTTCTCTTCGATGTCTCCTGAAATTATCTGAAGCTGCTGCAGCATTCTCAGTGCTTTCTTCAGCAGTCTCAGATCTTGAAGGTTTCTCTCTATACATTCTTCTTCTACTGGATCGGTCATGTAGAGTGTTTTCTGCTCCATGTTCTGATTCTGATGCATCAGATTCATCCTCTTCATCTAAACAAGATGATGCAGTAACAGATATTGCTGGCTTCTTATTCCTTTTCTCAATTGCCCTTGCATCTAAACCTAGACGAGACGGAGCTGTAAAAGTGATCAGAGGGAGATCACCGTCCGAGGTTTTGGATGGATCGACACCCATGGCGATTTTCAGCTCTCGAAACCCTAATATCAACCTCACGCAGCTTCTTCGTGCTCTTCTTCTCAGCGAGAGAAAACGATCACTGGTGGCTTTTCCTTTTTCCTGAAATTACAAACCACTGTTTTTGATTTTATAGAAGAAATTGAAATATTTTGGACCGACAAAAAGGGTGAAGAATGTTAAAGCCCAAAACTGAATTAGCCCAACTTGAATCTAACATATTTAAGGCCCGTTTACAACACAAATTCAAATCCACAAAAAAACGGCGCCGTTTTGAATCTACAGAACATTTGGCTGAACCGAGTCACAAACTGACAAACCCAAAACTGCAACCGCATCTACAAAACAGTGATCTCAGAGCATTTCGATTTAAATGCGAATTACTTTAGTTTCATCACCAGGATGATATAAGAGGTAACGCAATCAAATCACCGTGCAAAAATATATTTACTTTCATCTGAAGAAAACAGCAAGATCTAGTTTTTTTTCCTAGTATAAACTGCAATGTTACAAGAAAGATGCTTACTTGGTAAATGATTCCCAAAGGTAATTCCTCTGGACAAATATATACACACACACATGTGTATAGATGAGTCTTCATCAATCATCATCCAAATTATACTATTTGAAACGCGAACCTTTCTTCTTCCCTTTACCCTTTCCTCTGCCTCTTCCTTGTAATGCCGAGGCCCAGAAGAACAGAGAGATCCAAATTAGTAGTGCAAGAAAGATCTTTACACGGTCATGAATCATCGACGCTACTTCCACAAGATCTATACAAGAAAAAAAGGAAAGACTTTTATGTCAATTGATTGTGTATTTCACTTGATAAATATGGTTATGACTTAACATCTAGAGAGCGAGATCAGAGGACAATGGTGGGCTTTTTGGATCACAATCACTAGTTGTTAAAGGAGGAGACTTTCTATATCCCTAATGCTTATAACAGTGAGCTCCACAAATTTGTCACAAAGAGATTTGAATTTTCATGGACATATTTCAATTTCATAGGCATAAACCCTAATGACTCTTGAGTAATTCGATGATCTCTATAATCGACGAATCAATACCAACAACAAATGATTGATGATGCTTTAGTCAAACCAACTCCATTCCCAATTCGAATTCTGTAGTGCGTATACACAGTAATATCGTCGAATTACGAATAATGAAAAACCAGAATTAGCAGCAGAACAAAATCGAAACTTTTGAGTTACAATAACTAACAATAGAAACTTCTGGGTACGAAGGAAAACTAACTTGCGAGATCAGTCGTGTTTCGAGGCGGAGGAGGATCGGGAGTGGGTGGAGTTGGAGGACGGAGAGAAGCGACGGCGATGCATCGTATGCGGTGAGGAGTCGCGGCGAGGAAAAGGGTTTGAGGATGAAGTCGAGACGGCGGAGGAATAGACGGAGACGGAAGGTGAGAGTGGTTTTGATGGAAGCGATGGAGGTAAAGGTTGGAGCTTGCACTCGTCTTGGAAAACGCCGTCGCAGCCATTCTCTTCTTAAGAAAATTTTGGACCTTGTTTCCTCTTTCTTTTTTTTGTATAGAAATCGATTGTCAAATGTTTTTCTTGTCAACTATACTTTTGAGTCGAAATCAAAAAAAAAAAACTATACTTTTGAGTTTCACAAATTGAATTTGTCCCCAAAAAGTTGTTGATAAAAATATAGAAATACGTATATACCACACCCAAAACAAAAACAAATTTTACTTTCTAATATAGCACGATTCAAAAAAAAAAAAAAATCATAACATTTACGAATTTGGTATTTTTGTATTGTTTGGAAATATTAAATTTGTGTGATACTTTGATTGTTCTAACAAAACATTAAAGTATTATGTTTTCTTAAGAGAAACTGAATAATTCACTAGCACACCGTCTTTTAACAAATGAACTAATAACTTAATGTGTAACTTGTCTGTATCACTGTATGAACCAACAAAATAAAACAAATTGCATACAAAACGAGCACAAAATTTACGATTACAGATAAAATTTTGGTTATGGCTTTCTCTTGTTTACTTGTTTAGTGTATAACTCTTTGGCTATATTTTGCGCCCATTAATTACGAGAATTAGCAATTTATCCCATTTGCACAAAGAAACATAAAGGGAGACAACATTCTTTGCTTATTCATTGTCTTTAGCGAATTTTTGGCTTTTTTAGGGTTTAGCCATTTATTCCATTCACATACAAAACATTAAGGGATACAACATCCATTCCTTAATGGCTTATTCCATCAGGAAAACAAACACCCAAAAACGAAACAGTGACTCTACTCAACAGAAATCTCCTGAACATTCTTGTTTGGCTTCTCCGTTCTAGGAATCACAACATTGAGCACACCGTTCTTCAGCTCTGCCTTAATTTCCTCAACCTTGGCATCATCAGGCAACGACAAGCTCGTGTTGTAATAACCGTAACTCTTCGAAGACCAGTATTCTTCTTCTTCAGGTGATCCTTCTCCTTCCTCCGCCTTGTGTTCTCCTTTGATCATCAAGATTCCATTATCCACCGTGATCTTCACGTCATCTTTGGTTAGCCCTGGAACCTCATACCTAAGTTTGTAACAATCGTCTTGCTCTTTAACTCGACCCATTAGCTGAGATGGTCTCATCTCAAAGTTGTCGAAAATCCTGTTTATGTTTTCTGATGCTTGCATCAGTGCGTTTCCCAGACTTGGAGGAAATAACTCTGTTTTTTTACATGAGAAATTGAAGTTAATCCAACAGAAATGTAACGTACATCATCCAAAGTTTTCTTATTATTTGAATATATAAAATTATAGTACTACTATATGTTTACAGTTGCAAATTCTCTGAACTTTTAAAACGTTAAAATTCAGTTTATTAGAGACTAGAAACACACACCAAAATATCCACAATAAGTTTATTAAAAACAAAATGATAAAGAGAGAGAGGCTAAAATAAATTTCACAAACTTTTGCATACAAAAAAACGTCTTACATTTTTTAAAGAATTCTTTGTAAATTTAAAACTTATGAGTTTTAAGAATTTTAAAATTGCGATGATAATTCTAGAATACAAAACATAAAATGTGATATTTCTAACGTTTAGCTAAGAAGGTATTCCAATATTAAGTTTAATATGACGAAAATTTATTCAGCTCTACCATATTATGATTATTTCACTGATCACAGAAATACAAACATACCATTTAGTGCGGGAGCAAAGTAGTCATGATCGTCGGTGTTACGCCAGAGACTTCTCCGGCCACCACGTCTTCGAGGAAAAAACCGTCGAGGAGATTTCTTCTCAGACACACTCACTTCTTTTTTCTTCATCTCCTCTTGTTCACCAGCTGAAGCAGCCATGAATCTGTTCAGAGTCCACTGGTTTTGTCCATTACCGAGCAAACTCCTTTCACAAGATTGACCCATCAAATTAGGAGACAACTTTTGCTGAAGGTTTCTCAAAGCCAAACGAGCTAGAGCCATTGTTTAAATTTCTTAATTTTTGTTTTCTGTTTTAGAGTTTGGAAAGAAAAGGCCAAGAATTGTTGCGTTTATAAAGATGGGTTTTTGCTTTATGGTAAGGTTTCTTAGAGGTGTGAGAAGTTTCCAAGAGTTTCTGGCTTGATTTAGAAACCTCAAACAGAGCAGCTTCTTGTTTCTTCTACCTTTTTCTGGATAATCACAAGATTCTTTACTTCTCATATTTGTTTTTGGATAATAATGGAATTCATAAATTAAGACGAATAGCTGAACAAAGAAAGTAATGACACAAGACCAACCGTCTTGAGCTAGCAGCCTAGCAATTCCTAGAAAGATCCAGAATAGTTTTTTTAACTCATTGTTAATTTATCTTCTTTCAATCAACATAGAAACAATAGATTTTTCTTTATACAGAAAATCTTAATTTCCAAACATCAAGTTTCTACTGGTAATAACACAAACCAATTTCAGGATATTTGTGGTGATGAAATTGGTTTGTAGTTGGTCTTAAACCGGACAATAATAAGTATCATAAATAGAATCAACTAATTTTGTGAATTGTCTAATCATTAATTCTCTGCGTAATGTTTCGTTACGAAATGACGAGAGAGGTTATAACAGTTGTGAATTTCGTGGAGCCAGTGGGAACAGCAGTTCGCGTAACTACTGATTCTTTTTCTTTCTTTTTTTGGTCAAGCCGCAAGCATAACTACTGATTCTTAAACCAACAACTATCAAATAGAGAAATCACACCCATATGTAAATTTTTTATTTTTTTTCCGAGAAAAGGCTTCACATATGTTTAATTATTCTGATACTCTTTCTGTTTCATACTATAAAAACCGTTTAAATTATTTTACGTATATACTAAATAATTTATTTTTTATAACTGTTTTATATTATGATCACATTGATTGATAATCTAAAAATTTAGAGATATAAATGAAAAAATTATCAAACATTTACATTAAGAAACAAAATATGAATCTTAAAACGATTTATATGTTGAAGGACAACTTAATTATTATAACACCTTTCTTGTCATTTATCACAACAAAAAACCCCTAACGACGAATCTCTTTTTTGATTCAGTATCTTCATAGTTGGCTCCTTAACCATTTGAATCTGTCAGTGTCTTTTTCTGTCTTTAATAAACTCGAATAAACCGTGTTAGAAAAACCTTTGGTCTATAAATCAACCTCGATCAAACCGGATGAAATGCGAATTAAGTTGTTCCAACTCATACGAGTCAACAAGACTTTGACATTAGTAATATCTTATATGATCGAAAATTTATTCTTTCACCTTATTATTCTGAGCAAAAATATATAGACATAACTGATTTCGATCCTCTATTCATACGCTCAGAAACGAGAAATAAGTGATTTCATAAAAGTTTGCTTCATATTATTAGCAAGCCATTAATGTGATGAAATTAAAAAAAAGAAAAAATGTGTAAAGGCATGAACCATGCTCCTGGTTTGCGATTATAATTTACTGTTTTATGTTTTTTTTTTAATTTAAAAACCCGTTTCTGATTTCTCTTAATTTGTAAAAACAAAATGGGACCGGTAACGACCGAGAAAGCCATGTGTCCAGAGTATTGTCGAATTATTAGCTTTAGGACCGACCTTATCCATCTTTTGACCGTTGGCTTATTAGTGACTCGGTACTTTTGTTTTATTCTCCTTTATTACACAATGATATATTTAAGCAAAATTCAATACTGTTGCCAATTAAAAATTAAAAACTTGCAAATGCTAAAGGTACGTTTGTTAGGTAACGGTTAGTGGGTAAACTTCCGGAGAGAAATAAAACAAATTAAAGTATTGATTCAGTGGTGTTGATTGCATGCAAAAAACATAGACTTTGAATAGTTTATAATTTTACAATAGTTTAATCTGAAAAAGGAACCAGTAGACACGAAAGGTATATTTTTGGGTGGGGCATCACGTGGTTTCGGCTCTACCAGCAAACATTGCAATTTGGACCGCCGGGTTGTTTTGTTTACAGTGACCCATTATGGTATGTTCCGGTTCACAAAACCCCACATGTGGAGGGACTGATTTTTTTTTTTTTTTTTGATTTGGTCAAAATCTGGCTTCTTGATCATGAGTCAAAATATTCATGTTATACTTAGGTATAGATGATAAATTATAGTCTTGAATTTTCTGTCTAATATTTGCTAATGGTAATGTTACGCTATAGACTAAAGTTACATTTATAATTAATAATGTATGTATGTCGTCGAGTCGTTGGTCGAATATTCGGAATATTCACACACATGCTTACACTATGCTTCACTTTATGCAAGAGACTGAGAGATAAAACATGCTATAAATGTAGGACATTACTGATTTTTTATATTTTTTAAACATTTTCACGACAAAATATAGCAATTTTTGCTGATCCTGCTTCACATAATCTTCTAAGTTTATACCATCAAATAATATATACATATAAAAAACACTTTTTTTTTTTTGTCGACTACCCAAACTAATACATCACTGTTGGCTGGCTTGGAGGTGGTTTTGCGCACCGTCCTTAACCGACTCGTTATGATCGATGTGGGTGAATATTTGTCTTTTTGCTCGGGCTCCTTTTGCAAGACTATCCGCCCGAACATTTTCATTCCTCGGGATATGGGAGATGGAAAACTCTGAGAAGTTCTCACGAAGGATACGTAGATTTTCTAGCTCGGACGTGAAAGACGGCCAATCAGCTAGGGATTCCGTCATACTCACTAGATCCGAACAGTCAGTCAGAAAAAGCACTGTTCTTATGTGTCGTTGGCTCAGGGCTGCCATAGCCCATAAAAGACAATCCATCTCCGCATGAAGGGCGAAAAGGCTTCTGCGGCATCCTTGTTGGCCAAACAACTCCTCTTCCCCAGCGTTCACCAGGCTCCACCCGAGTCCACTGACAGGTCCGTGATCAATCCACGAGGCATCGATCCAACATGTTGGGACCCGTTGGTTCGCAGGGGAAGGTGTTTGGGGACGAGAGGGGCCTAGGACCCCCCCGGGGGAGACCTCTACTTCCTCTGCTTCCTCTGGTTGGTTCGCCATTCTCCAGCTCTCCGCTTCCACCTTTGCGTGGATCAAGGTGTCTTGTGGGGAAATTGATTTTCCGTTGATAATTTTGTCGTTCCTTGCTTTCCAAATGAACCATAGGATCCAAGGATATAAATCCTTCTGAGGGTCCGTCATGCCTAGCTCTTTTGTTTGCCAGAAGAGAAAGCTCATATTTTGGTAAATAGAAGTACTCGGAAAGAGGCCTGGAAGGGACGGAAAGTCCGATAACGCCCAGACTTGAAGTGCCGGGGGACATAAAAATAGGAGGTGATTTATAGATTCTACGGGGTCGCCACACCGGGGACAGCTCGTGTCAGATCCAAGATGTCGGTATGTTAGATTCTGACCTGTAGCCACACATCCTGACAAAGTTTGCCACATGAAATGCTTCATTTTGCCGGGGCAGCTGGTTTTCCAAACCTGTCTTTGCAATACCGTAATGCTCGGTTCCCCCACCATAGTAGGTTCCCGTTGTAATTTTGACCTCCTAATTAGGTCATAGCCCGTCTTGACCGAATAGAGTCCTGATTTTGAATGGTTCCATGCGTATCCATCCAGGCATCGGTTGCGACTAGGTCTCATTCCTAGAATCAGGGAAACGTCCTCTGGTTGGAAGAAAACCCTAAGAAGAGGAACATCCCACTCCTTTGTATCTTGCCGGATGAAGGAGTAAACAAGTAACCCCGAGTCTTGATAGCCGATTTGTGGAGTGGCTCTCGCCGGTCGAGCTCTAATATCCGGGATCCATGGTTCGCTCCAGACCCTTGTATTTAAACCCGACCCTATCGTTTTCCGCAATCCCATCATTAGATATGGTTTTGCAGCTAAAATGCTCCGCCACCCATAGGATGGGGAATAGACGCGACGATCCTCTAACGGATCCGATTCTCTGTAGTATCGTCCTTGTAGAACCTTGGCTAGAAGAGACGAGGGGTAATGAATAAGGCACCATAGCTGTTTAGCTAGAAGGGCTAAATTGAAATCTTGAAGATCTCGGAAACCTAGACCTCCCATATCTTGGGGAATGCATATCTTGTCCCAAGCTATCCAGTGGATCCTTTTGCTATTCTGCTTTGAGCTCCACCAGATATTAGCAATGGCACTCCGTAACTTATCGATCACACTTTGGGGAATAAAGAAGCATGACATAACATACGTAGGAACAGCCTGGGTAACCGATTTAATCTGAACTTTGGGAACGTTCTACATGTTTATTTTTTTTTCCGAATTTGAAACTAGATTTTTATAGTAGTTGGTGATAGGTCCACAAACATAAAATGTTTTTGGTTGAACTAAGAACATTTTTTTAGTATCTATTATTTGTCCTAACTCCTAACTCTTATTACCAGTTAATTAAAAAACATATGTTGCCTAACTTTTTACTCTTATATAGATTTTATATATGAAATGAACTATTTCTTTTCGAGAAATTCTAAAATCAAATCTTTAAGGAAGGCTCTTTTAATTAGTTTAGTTTTCATTTTTTTACCCATTCTCTGTCGCTAAAAAGTTCAAAAAAAAAACAAGTATTTTAGATATCAATCATTTACACTATTTTCTAGAAGAAAATTACATACAAAGAGACCCAGAAAAGCTATAGAAAAAAGTTATCTACAGTACAAGAATTTACCCTTTCAGAGATATTTCTCCCGAAACTAAAGGATTTTTTTCCTGCAATTTTTCTCGAAAATGAAGAAATTAAAAGTCAATAGGAACACTGAATTCTATGATCTCTGTCCCTAAGAATCCCATTGTACAGAGCAATCCTGTTTGCAGGCATGTCGTTTCTACAAACCGAACCGGTCTTCTCCGGTTTAATTGTCGGTTCCGGTACAATTCTCCGGAGATGTTCCCTCTTACGATACTCTTCACCGTTCCCTTTCGGCTCTTTCACATTCTCTGCGAATTTCACCTTCTTCTTCTTCTTCCTCTGTTTCTTCTTTTCCTCTGCATCAACCATAAACAAGAAATTTAGAAACTTTTCTAGCCGTAGGATGATCGGAGAAGAAAAAAAAAGGTACCTGAACAAAGACAAGAACGGAGGATCTGTTGATCCTGGTGATCTGATGTCTGATTTCCAGAGAATTGGCGGGAAATCGCGAGAAACAGAGCAGTGCTTGAGAAAACCATGGCGGTCGCGATCACGACGCCATGAGAGCAGCTCAGCATACAAGTCATGTGTATGTGTTCTTAATTATAATCAGAGGAGAGATTCCTCGCCGAAGATTCAGAGAAAGCAAACCGATGAAAAACAGAGAGAAGAAAAGAGAGAGAGAGAGAAAGAAAGTTTCGAACTTTGAATTTTTCTTTCTCTCTGAGGTTGTTGGTGATCAATGAATGAGTTTGAAATGAAGCATGTGTGTGTTGCAGAGAGATTGGTCGTACTCGTACCACAACGTCACGCAAAAGGTACTGTTGAAGTTAAACGGTGAGATCTCTTCTCTAAGATTTATTGAAAGAAGAAAAAGTATGGAGTTTTGGAGACTTGAGTTCGAAAGAAATTAAAGGAAAAAAGTTCTGACAATAATCAAAAGTTGAAGTTTTTTTTGTTTTTGTTGTTGTGTGCTGTCTTCTGTTGGAAAAGTAGAGAGAGAGAGAGAGCATGAAAGATTGTTGGTGTTTGGTTTAGTCACAAGCTGAAAAATCAAGTGGAAATGGGAAAATCTTCTATCATTAATATAAATCTTCACTGTACTTAGTCTCTCACCATATTTATAACTAAATTCATTGCATAGAGTTATGTGTACTTGTATACTTAATATAAACATATGTCTAAGTTAATATGACCAAACTTATCTATTGTTGCAATTCTTTTTTTTTTTGTTAAACTATATAGACATAATTGTTAAAACTTCTATTTTTTTAGAAAGTTATTTATATATTTTAATTAAATACTACATCTTGGTGCAATACATTTTTTTTTTTGTTAAATACTTGACCACATCTAGTAAATTAAAACTTTATGCACGTTGTTCACTTTTACTAGTTAATTATTTCATTTGTCATCATTAGTTGATACGTTTCTTTTTATATAAGAAAATACATTATTCAATTTTTATGTCTCGTCACATCTTTCTCATATTTTTGTTATGAAATTATAGGGATATTGGGTAATGGTTTCCGGTTAACTCTTAACCGATAAGTCAACCAGTCAAATGGAATCCAAATTGGATATTTTGTATATGTTACGTTAAAACAAGTAAAGTTATGTATTAACAAAAATCGAATGGTTATAAGTAAATGGTTTAGGCTCTCAAATCTATCCGAAAGTGTTAACAGTTGATGGTAGAATAAATTTAGATAGAAATCTAACTTTGAGTGGTTCAATATTGTGGAAGCAGAAATCATCACTTTTTACTTTACGGAATGTGAAATTCTGTAATTTTTTTTTTTTGTTGTAGCAAGGGTTTTTAATTTTGTAATGTCGTTGATCGAAAACCCATAAATAATGTACATTTGAAGTTTTAGCATTCGTTTGTACTTATATGTTGTAAATTGTGTCCATAAGAATACTAATTTTTGTTGTGAAGAGAAGGTAGTCAGTAGTCAGTATTATGTTTTCTGTAGTTATTACATACTAGATCCATATAAATTACGTTAAAAACAAGAATTACTTCTATATAACTAAAAATCTATGGAGCTTTTGCTCTAGTAGCTTGTTTGGTCTGCGAAGGCACTATAACTGCAACGTGTGGCGTGTTCAGTGCTCGATCAAGGCATCGAGAAGAGAGAAACAAAGAGAGTTTTTTTTTGGTATGATTTATAGGAAGATAGATTTAGAGGACAGAGAGAGCTGCTGAGGAAAATGAAAAAAAAAAAAAAAAAACTCAAGATTTGGGTTCAAATCGTTTGCCTTTTCGGATTCCTTAGATGACGAAAACAAAACTCAAGTTTCAGATGAAGAGTATGATCTGATGGATATCATTACACCAATAGATAAAAGAATCCTTAGAGAAAGACCGATCAAAACTTGAACAACAGGAAAGGAGATGCAATGACAATCCATAGCGGTTGGTCGTGGACACATCGTGAATCGTGATTATGGGAATATAATTGGTCTTGGCTATATCGTTTTCCGGAGCCAATCTTTTTACTAAGCTGAAGCGGACGACTCGGTTTATGAACTAGTTCATTTGTGTATGTTCTAAACTTTACTCTTGTAATATTATTACTAAAAATAATTTGACTTCGGTCATCGTTGGTAATCGTTTCAATCAATAAAATATATATTAGAAAAAAAAACTAAAAACAAGGGACAATGTGTTGAAGAGAAATGTAGGAAGACACAAAATCTTTAACAACAAAAAAAGGAAAGACAAAAACATAGAGGGAGAGAGATCCTAAAGAGTTCAATGAATCTCTACCACTCAATTGGATTCCATCTCTCTATCATTAACTTGAAGACAGAACCAAAGCAGAACCTGGCGTCTACGTGAACATGGGCTGGTGCCACGTGTCCTATATCAAAACCATATTTTGCCGCGTTTGCAGACGTTAAGTCGTTAAGACCATGATTAATGCGGTCTTCACAGCGTTTTTTCCAGAAATTTATTAATTGTTTAATGATACAGCGTCTCCAAATAGCCCGAGACGTTTCCTATTTAGCGACATTTTTACTCGTTTCTACCGACACGTGGCGGATTTCCATTGGTTATAAAATAAAGAGATTGTTTTTGTTTTCTACCTCCTCCTTTGATTTTTTTCGAAAACATTCTCGAGAAATTTCATTTTTCCTCTTTGCTCTCTTTTGTCCGGCGAAATCGACGGGAGAACGATTTGTCTCCGGCAGCTTCTCAAAGGGTTGGCAGTTCTGATACGGAGGAATCAGGGGTGGAAACGTGACTGCGAAAGGGGAGGCGAAAGAGATACGTGATCTAAACCCTAATTTCGTTTTGGGTGTTGTTTGTTTGTCGATTGGTAATCTGCGGTCATCTAGTTCGTCTATTATATGATTGGCTTTGAATTCGTCTATTATATGATTTGGATTAGGTTGAGGTTGGACAAAATCGAAATCTTTGAGTCGGGAACCCTAATTTTGGAAATTGGGAATTTGTTATGTGATGAAATTTCTGGGTTGTTTTCGCTTTTTTTGGGGATCCTTTGAACGAGAACTGTGTAATCGAAAGTTGTGTCATCTTTGTTCTCTGTAATCGAAGCTTGTTTGAGTATCTGGGAAACCCTAATTCGGGAAATTGGGGCTTTTGTTATTTGAGAAATTTATTGAGTCCTTTTCGCATATTTGGTGATAGTTTGATATGATTTGATTGTATATGAACAATATTTCGATTATCAATGGAATTAGTTGACTCATTCTGAGTATTATCTTCTATGTCATGTTTCGGTTAAGGGTTTAGAGTCATGATGCTTTTGGTTCATCGCATTTGATCTTGTATTTGCTGCATTATTCTCTGTCATGTTTTTACTCATGATCTTCTTTGTCTGACGTTTGTTCATCGTTTGTTTCATGATTCTTTCTCTTGTATTTGCTGCATTATTCTCTGTCATGTTATTCGCTGTCATGTTTTTACTCATGATCTTATTTGTCTGCTGTTTGTACATCGTTTTACTCATGATGGAATATATGTTTTTTGTCATTACCGGTTATTTAGATCTTGTTCTTCTGAGTTTTGTGTTTGTTAACCTTTAGTTATCTTCTGTTCTGTACAGGGCAATGCCGATTAGCTACACCAACAGCACAACATCGGAGGCAAGCTATGACAGTGGTTGTGATAAGACGTATGGGAACTTTGGGGTTCCTGACCGATGCTTTTGTGGTCTGCGTTGTAGACTAGAAGAGTCTACAGCACCAGAGACTCGCGGGAAGAAGTTCTACTCTTGTCCTGCTGTTTGGGCGAGGTAAGATCATATTTCTGATCTTTATGTACTTATTATAGTTCTTATCTTTAGGATGTCATGTTAAAGGAAACCCTGAAATGAAGTAATTTATTTCATGTGTGTAGGATCATCCGGATCACATTTCCAAATGGTGGGATGAAGCCATTCAGGAGCAGCTGACGCTTCTTGAATTCCGCATCGACCAACAGAGTGAAAGGATGAGTTCAATGATGGAAAGTAACAACCGAACAGGCCTTCTGCAGTCGTATGAGGATCGTCTGTATGCATTGGGAGATCGCACTGCCGCAAACAATCTGACCATTACCGAGATCGAGGAATTCATAGGCTACATTCAAAGTGAATTTACTGGAGTTAAAGATGCACTTGCCACTCGAGGTTCTGACCTGCTTCTAATTATTTTTTTAGTTATTTTTACTGTCATTGCTTGTGTTGTTATGCGTTGGGATGTATAATAGGCTGTTGTAACCTTTAAGGAGATGAGTTAGGAGAAAAACATTTTATGTTATCATGAATGTTGTTTTAAATGACTGCTGGATTTGATTTGATCTTTCGCTATCTTTTTTTTACTTCTTATATCTTGTTATATATTTGGAGTAGAGGTTTCGTTTGTTTGTTCTGTTATTAATCAGGCACCAATTGAAATGCCAAGGGTCAAGGAGCATTTCGTAGCCAGCCTCATCCAGATAAGTAATTGTGTTTGCTTTTATGTTCAGTTTAGTCAGTTTTGATATGTCTTCATGTGGCTAACGGTTTTTTTTAAATGGAGCGTAGTTGGCACTGCGTTGGAGCGTAACCAAACGATGCTGCAACATGCCTGAATTCTGCCTCATCGTAACTAAATGGTCAGGTAACAGCATCTCCCTTCTCGTTGTACTTAGTGAAAAGATATGATGTCTAAAGTTGTTAGGTGGTAATAAATGCAGATTTAGGTTTATGTCATGTCCATCTTTAAGTGCTTTTTGTTTGTTGAAGAAAGATAGTGTGTAGATGTGGAGGAAATTCAAGTTTGTCATTAAAACCTACTGTCTAAACATTTACTAAAACCAGTTTCGTAGCTTCGTCCATGCCTCATTACTGCCATTTACCAAATTCTTTTTATTCCTTTGTTCATTTATTTCATTCCTTGTTCATTTATTTCATTCCTTTCCTTTCATCTTTGTTCATTCATTAAACTTTTCAAACTCTTTCATTCTTTTCTTCTCTTCGTTTCATCTTTGTTTGACCTCTTTCTTTTATCTCTATCTTTGAACTCCTTCCTCGATATGGATCCATATCCATTATCGCAACCTTCTAACTTTGTTGACTTATTAACAAGTCAACATGAGCCATCATTGAATGATGGTTTCCTTTCTGTCGACCATGTTCCCGTATTTGGCACACAGCTTTCACAAGCCACAAACTACGCTGAAACTACTGCTCAGCGAGTAGATAGAAGGACTTGGGTCCCGAATGAGGATGTGCTGCTAATCAATGTTTGGCTAAACACAAGCAAAGACCCTGTCGTGGGCAACGAGCAGAAATCCAGAACTTTTTGGAAGCGGATCGCTATATATTACGCAGAGTTTAGGGAACCTTCGATGGGTGCACCACGCGAGGCTGGCCAATGCAAGCAACGGTGGCACAAGATCAACGATCTTGTGTGCAAGTTATGTGGATCGTATGAGGCAGCAACGAGGGATAAGACTAGTGGAATGAACGAGAACGATGTCATTAAGATGGCGCACCAAATCTACTTCAATGATCAGAAGAAAAAGTTTAACTTGGAACATGCGTGGAAGGAGTTGCGAAACGACCAGAAGTGGGCTGAACTGTTGACAACAAAAACGGATCCGGCGTCCAAAAAAAGAAGGACTGAAGAAGTTCCATACTCACCGAATCCAGATGTGGAGGAAATCAGGGCAACCGAGATCGGTCAGGGTAGCAGCAGGCCACCCGGAGTAAAGGCGGCGAAAGCTAAAGGGAAGAAAACTACGCTTGACGGGAAGTCGTGTGCTGAGTTTGAGGGCATGTGGGTTTTTAGGGAGAAAGAGATGGCCATCAAAGAAAGACTCTCCAAGATGGCTCTTCTTGAAAGTCTGGTTGCCAGGAAGGAGACCCTAGCTGATTACGAGGAAGACCTGAAGAAGACGCTTATACAGCAGCTCTTCTAGACTGTTGTGTTGTTGATGTTCAGTTAACTTGTTTGTATGTTTGGTGTTTTATGGAGTTGCTTGTCTATGTAGTTTCGTATCGGTTAAGTTGTTGTTTGCTGTTAAGTGACATTATCTGTTTAGCTATTAAGTGAGATGTTGTAGTTGTTGTTTACTTCGATGGTATTTATTTTCGTCTATGTATCAAATCTTGTGTTTATGTTTATCTTTCGCTTTTTCTGTTAAGTGACATTATCAAATTTCAGATATGATTGTCTGTATGTTGTTTGGCATTATGTGTTACAGGTTGGCGAGGAAAGCCAAAAAAGGACTCACGGATGACACAATATGAGTCATAATTGTCGATTAAAGAAGATGAGTGGGAATCTTTCAGTGTCCTTTATATTTCGTGACACAGTCTGAGTCATAATTGTCCTTTAAATTTACACCATTCATAATGTAAAAATATAAAACATTTTTGTTGTAATGCATTGGCTACATATATTGCGAGACACCATTTCATTCTTCAATTCACAAACGAGTTGTCTCTCTTTCTCTTTTTTTCTCGTGCGCTCTCTCTCTCTCTCTTTGTTTCCATCTCCTTCTCTATTTGTTTATACCAAACACAACCAAACTATAAAACAAATGGCTTCTTCCTCAAATAACCCAGATGGTGGTCCTAGTGAGAGAGATTTTGAGCAATACTTTGAACAATTTTTTGAGCAAAAGTTTGAACAATACTATGAGCAAACTTATGAAAATTTGTTCAGTCAATATGGAGAACAGCAAGAGCCAAAGAAATCAAAGAAAAAAAGAGCATACGTTGAAAGAGATCGTGTAGAAGGGGATAATCGTTTATGGAACGATTATTTCAGCGACGCACCCACATATCCTGCAAATTTATTCAGACGACGTTTCCGGATGAATAAGTCTTTGTTTTTGCATATCGTCGGAAAACTTTCCGGTGAAATTCGTTTCTTTCAACAGAAGAATGATGATCTAGGAAGACATGGGCTGTCTGCTTTACAAAAATGTACGGCAGCTATTCGTCTATTGGCATATGGCTGTGCCGCTGATTCAGAAGACGAGTACCTCAGGCTCGGTGAAACGACGGCTCGTTCATGTTTGGAAAATTTTGTTGAAGCAATAATCAATTTGTTCGGGGATGAGTACCTACGGAGACCCACACAGGAGGATCTTCAACGCTTACTTTATGTTGCAGAAGACCATAGATTTCCTGGAATGATAGGAAGCATCGACTATATGCATTGGGAATGGAAGAAATGTCCAACCGGTTGGAAAGGGCAATACACACGTGGTTCAGGAAAACCAACGATCGTTTTAGAGGCCGTTGCTTCATATGATCTCTGGATTTGGCACCCTTTTTTTGGACCTCCAGGTACATTAAATGATATAAATGTCCTAGATCGCTCACCGTGTTTGATGATATCTTAAAAGGAAAGGCACCACAAGTAAACTTTTGGGTCAATGGACGGCAATATAACCTCGCATACTATCTCACCGATGGTATCTATCCAAAATGGGCAACATTCATCCAATCAATTCCAGTTCCCCAGGGAATCAAAGCATCTGTATTTGCGGAGCGTCAAGAGGGTGCCCGAAAGGATGTTGAGCGTGCTTTTGGAGTACTGCAATCTCGATTTGCAATTATTAAAAATCCGGCTCTTTTCTGGGATAAAGAAAAAATTGGAAAAATAATGAGAGCTTGTATCATACTTCATAATATGATAGTTGAAGACGAACGAGAGGCTCGCACTCAGTATAATGCGGAAGAAGAATTTGGCATAGGTGAGGGAACAACCAGTTCACCGGTGGATCGTTCTTATTCGACAAGTATGCCTACAAATGTTCGAAATATGTTGGATACTCGGAAAAAAGTTCGTTCCACTCGAATACATGACCAATTGCAAGAAGATTTGATGGAGCATGTATGGCAAAAATTTGGTCATTTATATAACAATTAAGTTTTTTGTTAATTTGTAAGTTTAGTTTGTTCAAATTTAAATGCATGTATTGTTAAGCTTTAATGAAATAAGTTTGTTTAAAAAATTTGTTTTATTTTAATTTGGTAAAATAATTTTTTTTTTTTGGAAACCCATTTAGGTCTCTTCATTGCACACCTAAAAAACTAAATCTCTAGAATAAGTTTTCAATCTCACTTTTTGCTTATAAACTAATTAAATAATGAGCTGAAAACCCTTATGGATCTCTCCCATTGAGGTTGCTCTAAGGTTTTGCCTTGGGGATGTTCTGCCAAAAAGAAGATGCATATTTATATAACTTACACAAACAATATAGTCGGGAAAAAAAACCAAATCCGAATAAGTTTTATATTATGAATCAAAGTAACTACTTTATCCTATTGTTTTTATTTTACTATTTATTTCGACCATAAATTTATTTTTATAGTCAATTTATCAATCCTTTAGAAACACAAATAAATAATATTAATTTAGTAATTCTGTTCGATGTTGATCCATTTGAATTCAACACGAATACGTTACGAGCATGTTTTACACGAAATTTGAAAGAGGACTAGTCAAAGTGTAATTCTTTCGAAACTTCTTGAAGTTTTTGATTGTGATATAAAAGACTAGACCAACTTCTCTTTCTTATTTTGTGTGTGTTGTAGTATATGTTTCCGTGTTCTACATTTCTTTCGATTTCTTTATATTTTTCTGTTCAAAAATTTTCAACGGTTTCTATATGAATGAATTCTCAGCAATATGTCATAGGTGTTTCAGATGTTGGAACTCATTAGAGTTATATAAAATCATTGTAATCGTAGCGTAACAATTGTGAGAGATTCGATCGTATTTCGGGGTTTATGTATAACATAATAGATTTAGTTAGAGAGGTAAGTTTTTAGCATCATCATAATCGTACGGCAAGTTGTTTTTCGGAGATTAACTACTGTACAAGAGAGACATCACAAGAAGTTATTTGAAGTCTTAAAAGTTTTGACTTTTGAGAGAAAGCTAGAAGAAAGAGACTGTCACATGGCCTATTGACTTTGATGTCCTAAATAACATCAACCGCACACGTTTACTTAAGTTTTTTTCCTCTTATATGTTCATACTTATCCACGATTAATGATGTTGCTTTTAAGCCAAAAAAAGTTGTGGACTTCCGTTATGACAAGATCGGATTTGATTTCTTTTTAAGGTTTTGGCAAAAATCATAATCAAGTGTAATTCATATAGTACCGATTCTGCCAGAAACGACCGGATCCATTAAACATGTTTTCTTATTTCCATTTGGTGGTTAACAAGAGACAATTGAGTACTGGTCAAGGTACAAAGATTTGACAGTCTCTAGCTATTTTAAACCAGCTTTTGTAGACTAGAACCGATTTTGTGTCGGAACCATACTGGTCCAACTCGAGTTTAAACTATGTGGTTCAGAATAAAGAAGAATCGAGTTAATAAAAGAGAAGTGAGTAGATGCATGCAATTATCTATATGATAAAAAGAGTGAAGAGATTGACATATATCGTCCTCTGAGTAAGAAGGCTTATTACGTGTTCTATGTTGCCAAAGGCAAACTATCATCAAAATGTGAAGGCGCCAAGGGAAATTAATGTATCACCGAACGAACATCAGTATTTGCAGGAAATATATATGTGATGTAGTTGCCAAAGCTCAAACCTTAGATAAAGTGAAGGAAGTGATCAAATGGTTTCATTGCTAGTTCTCTCTTGAGTTTTCAATTACAATGATGGCTAATTTATACACAAGGCATAAATCCTAAAGGGTGTAGCCAAATGTCATAATCTTTTTCATACATTTCATCTCCTCTCCTCACATTCCTCGTTACTTCTTTTGGTCTGTCTTTTTCTTCCGTTGATTACCTGCAGGGACCATATCATAAGACCACTTGTAGTTTTCTTATGAGCTAGAAAATTCTTCAAGCCTCTAGAATCATTGTTTAGATAGTAAATACAAAAATGATGCGTTGCATTCAGTTCGAACTTGCTAACTAAAACATTTAGCTGAAAGAATTTTGTAGAAGCTAGACTATATATCTTAGGAGTTTCAGCACAAGTCTTCACACTTTCTCTGTTTCATTCTTGGTAAACAAATAAGTTTTGTTTGAATTCTATCATAAGATGTTTTATCCGAAGATGTTTGGATTCAGTAAGAAGAGATTACTGGAATTTAATTGCAATTAACACTAAATAGATTAAAAGTAATTTACAAACTTGCTTAGACTGAAAAAAATTATTAAAAGAATCAGTTTATATATTTAATGTCGATGACCCTTTCTAGAATTGAGTTCTTTTGGAGTGAAGTATCCTGGAAAATCAGACAAGTGAATCAATATTTCTATTTCACATTTGTTATAGTATTTTGGGAGGATAACTATAATAGCCTTAAAAAATCGTGAAATTATTTAAACAGTTTTCAAAAATTTTAATTATTAGAATAACCTACAATACCTATTTTACCCTTTTGACCTTTGTTAAAAAAACGTAATTATAAAACTGCGATTACTATTTATAATCCACATCAGCAAAAGTTTGATTTATTTACAAAAAAACCAATGCGCTCAAATATACAAGCCTACCAATATTTCACGGTAAACTTATAATTTTTTGGTAGATTTATATTTGAAACCGTAGATTTGTTTTGAGTCAGTAGATTTATTCGAAAACGGTAGATTTGTTTTGAAGTCGGTAGACTTATTTTGATAGATTTATTCTTACATTAGATAGAAATATTAGTGGTCAGTAGACTTATTAAATTTCCAGTAGACTTGTTTATAATGAGGGTAGATTTGAAACAATCTCGTAGACTTTTTTCGGTAATGTTGACTTTGGTTGACTTTTTGGTAGACAGTATACCGGATTGGTAAATTTATCCTATTTGACGGTAGATTTATTTTCGTCCGAGACAGACTTTTGTGTAATGATAATAGACTTATCGTTGGATGGTTTGAGTCTCAATAACGGTAGATTTATTTTTAATGACGGTAGATTAATAATGTTTTGGTAGATTTAATAGTGTGTTGGTAGATTTATCTTCGTATTGCTAGATTTATTGTTGAAATGATAGATTTGTTAGTAGACATGGTAGACTTAATTAATGATAAAATACGGTTCCTAGATTTTTATGTGTAGTAGACTTATTTGAAGAGACGATAGATTTATTAACAATAGATAGATTTGTACAAAACAATGACGGTAGATTTATAAAACAATTTGAAAAACACAAAATTGGTAGACTTATCGTAAATTGGTAGATTTAATTATAAATAGGTAGATATATCTGATATTGGTAGATTTATCTGAAATTGATAGATTTTTATTTATTAATGATGATAAATTTGATGAAACTACGGAATGTCAAATGACAATTTTGCCCTAAAAAAACTTTATATTTGCAAAAAAAACAGGCACCCATCGTGAAGATGGTCGTCACAGGATTAAGTATGACAAAAATTATTGTTTGGTGGTAAATTTATTGTAATGATGGTAGAAAAAAAAACCAGGCACCCATAAATTATTGTTTCTATCTCTACCCCAACTCAGAGCCCAGAATAGAACTTTACCCCAATTCCCGCTGAGAGCTATGCTCTGCAACACAGACGCAGTTTGGAGGAAAGATACCTGTATGGCAGGATTAGCCTGGGTGTTCACAGATGGCTCAAATAAACCGCTTGAATCCTCAACTACTGTGGAGTTTGTGACCTCGCCCTTAATGGCAGAAACCATGGCCATAAGATCAGCACTGATGCAGGCTAGGAATCTGGGATTTAGGGATTTGATCATCCTTTCTGATTCGCAGGTAGCGATAAGAATTATCAAATCTAAAACCCTAATCCTCGATCTTCACGGAATCCTCTCAGACATCATTTGCTGCTCTCAAGAAGATTTCATCGATTTCTTTTTTATTCCCAGAGATACAAACAATGTTGCTGATTTTGTAGCAAAAAAAGCCTTAATGGGTTAAAATGTATTGGGCTAAGATTCTAAATGGATTTGTTTGATAAAAAAAAAAAATCCTTTTGTTTATGTATTTTTTTTATTTTGTTTATTTCTTTTTTATTTTTTATTTTTGTTTTTTATATCGATAAATGTAAAAAAGAAAAATCATAAAATTTAAATATAATGGCATTTTTTTTATAAAAACGAAAACATGGATTTTAATGTCTTTAACCAATTTATTAAAATTAGTTTAGTTTTTCAAATTTGGAGCAGAGTTATTCTATTAAAGAGGCAACTTTTGAAGGTTGTTCTAGTAATTATCTCTAGTTTTTTTTCCCCTCAAACTTACTTCATTTACTTAAAAACTAAATTACTAAGAACTAGAAATGAAAGTTGAAAAAAAAACTAGACAGGAAATACTTTTTAGGCTATTAGGATTCCCTCGTCTTCCAAAAAAAAAACCTGAATTTATTAGTTTGATTTTGATAAAACAAATATTTGTTTTCATATATTAATTACCTTACAAATTTTTTTTATTAATCAGACACAGAGCGACCCTTGAGATTAAAAGAAACCCTAAAAACCTTACCGCTCCTACAACTTCATCTTCTCCAATTTTTTCTTTGTTTGTTTTGTTGTGATCGGATCGTCTGCTACCTTCCATTTCCGGCAATTCAAACCTTGTGTTAATGGAAAATCTTGAAGAATCGCAGAGTCGCTGCGTCTTTGTTAATACGAGCCTTGGAACCCATATAGTGTCTCTCCTCTACAACGATGACACAAGCTCAGATTTCAAAGGTTTGGAACATAAAAGCTCCCTTAAATTTGTATGTTAATGCTGTGAGATTAGTCGATTTTTGTTTATCTTGCTGCATTGTTTCTGCGTTACTGAATAATTGTGGTTTTAATCGAAGAAAAATTACGCGAGGAGCATAAACAATGTCATCCACAAATTGGTGAAATCGAAATTTCTGCTTTGAAGGTATGCATGTATGTATATATGGAAATTTCGCTGCCTTGTTTGTTCATAATCAGGTTAATTGGGATTTGGGAGTGGTTTTGTTTTCAGGTTAAACACCGAAATCAGTTTTTTCATTGCTCAGATTCAATGATTTTGAGTGAAGCTTTTCAAGGCATCACTAGAGACTGGTTTATCTATGTGGATGCAGTCAGAGTTCTGACCATTGAAGATTCTGAACAGAGAAACGATGAAAATGGAGAAGCTGATCAGGATGTTCCCAGAGAAGAAGGTGTTGTTGGTAACGCAAAGACGACAAGGAATAAAAAGAGGAAGGTCGAGCAGCAAAAGAAGTCTTGCAAGTATCAGAAAGCTGAGAAGATTGATGATGTTTCTGTACCAAGGAAAAAACAAGAATTTGTCGGGGAAACATCTTTGTCAAGCTCTGTCTTAGTACACAATAATGTGGCTCAAGGAGTTGCTTCACTAGTAACAAGAGATTTACCTAGATGCACATGCCAAAGTCTAATAACCAGAAAGCTGGTCGTATTGGATTTGAAAGGGATCCTCGCGGATGTCGTTGAGGATTATAATGGTCAGCTCATTCCAGATGGTAAAATATCAGGCAGATCAGGTAAAGAAGTAATCAATTTCAATGTGGCCATTTGTAACTTATGTGACTCTCTGAGTAATATCTTTCTTCTTTTCTATAGTTTTCAAGAGACCTTTTGTTGCTAGTTTTCTTGAATTCTGCTTTGAGAGGTTCGAGGTTGGGATATGGTCTTCTGGGGACGTGTAAGATTTTGGACTCTCTGATACTCAAATTCTCAAATGCATTGCTTGTTTTTTCTTTTCCTTAGTCAAGTGTTTTAATACATAGATTATTAAGTTTAATCCCCACCATTAACTCTATCTTTCCTTTTTCTCTTAACAGTGGACTGGATTTTATGAACTACGTCGTCATTGGAAAGCGTGCAAAAAACCTGTTGTTCTGTTTCGTAAGTGATCTCAACAACGTATATGAGACATGCAATTGATATTGAAAGTGTAGAAATACAGTTTTACAATCTCTATGAATATAAATAAATTTATTTGACTACGAGCAGAGCTTATTCTAATTTCTTTTCTTCTGTTTGTTCACAGGATCAACATATGTGCACTCCTACAAGGTTCAACACTCTGGAGAAAAGCACAGAACCTCTGTTCCTTAAGGATCTAAGAAAAGTTTGGGAGCGTATTGGAACATGTGTCAGTTGTGGAAAAGTAAAGTACGATGAGTCAAACACCTTACTGGTTGATGACTCACCGCACAAGGCCTTGTGTAATCCTGTAAGTAACTGGAACACTTGCAATTAAGCTTTTATGTATTCAATCTCTGCGATCTTACATATAAGCATTAACATCGGTTGGTATTGTTTTTGACTCTCTGTTAGCCACACACTGGAATCTTTCCTTTCCCGTACCAGTACACAGACCGTAACGATTCTGCATTGTGTGAGTCTTTTACCTTCTTAATACTCAACAACATCAAGCAGAAAGAGTTGATAGAGAATCATATTGTTCTTTGACATTCTCTTTCAATCAGATATATTATGCGGTTTCTAACTATCAAAAATGACACCGATGTTTTCATTATGTTGAGAACAGCTTGTGAGCTAATGCAGTACATGGAAAGGTTAGCGGAAGTGGATAATGTACAGAAGTTCGTAGCTGAGAATCCAATCGGCCAGGCTGCCATAAATGATAAGCATGAATCATGGCAGTTCTACTCTCAGGTGATCGAGGAATATAAGTAAATTGATCCAGGGGGCTCACTGTTTAATTAGACTCTTCAGTTTGTGGTTATTTAGGCTCTAATTTGTAACTCTTTGGAATGACGTTGTGGTATAATGATCGTATGCGGTTTTTTGTGGATCTAAAACTATTAAAAGCATTTTCCGAAAACTCTATCGACTAAGAGCATTTTGGAGCTTTTGTTAATTTCTAGAATGCAATTGAATCAATGAATGAGAATTGGATGAGAAAGTTCTCTCTCAATCTCTCTCTACTTATGAATTGGAAAATGCTCCGAAATCTTCTTCTTGGATATCAAACGGCGACTAAACAATCATTATAAAGAACAATCGTAGTCTAAACTGCTAAAATATGAATTTGGGCCATATATTTAGATTCAAACAAGACGGATGGATCAAACGGCGACTAAACATTCAATCAAACACTAAACATAAACACTGATTTTAACAAAACAAACTTTTCAAAAAGAGATATTAGAAAAGTTCACAAGTTGAATAGTAATTAGCAACAAAAGAAGTATCAAAAGGGTCGAGACTATTACATTCTCTCCACATCTTTAGTGTCCGAATGAAAAAACTAAAAAAAAACATAGCGGCCAAAACCTCACAGTATCGAACTTATTAGTTAGTAAAGAGGATGAAGCTAATGGCCTTATTACTAAAGCTGTTGCAGCAGAAGAAAAAAGGAGAGTGTTATTTATTATTACCTATAGATACTGCCACAGAGCTCTTAAGTTGTAAGAATTGGAGGCATGTAGTCGGATTTAGCACCGAGGATACGAGCTTTTGTGTCTGGAAAGAACTCGAATCCAGGAAGCTCAGTGATGTCTCCTTGACTAGAAACACCGATCGGGTAGCGAAGTAGATGACCAGGAAGATCATGTTCGAGTGACTCGCTCGAGTAAAGATCCCAATACATATCAGCAACACGGTTAACTTTCTTGATACATTCTTGGCTTGATGGATTGAGGAAAGTTTCGTCGAGCATTCCTAAATGTTCATACCATAACGACATGCGGAATCCATGGATTTGCCCTCGAGCTGGTTGTCTTGTTGAGAGATGATACGGTTGATAGCCTCCCATTGCTATCTCTGAGTCTCTTGCACCATCCATTGATCTCTGGTTGATATTTGCTGATCCGATTATTATATACTCATCATCAACTACGAAATAAGAGGTTGAGTCATTTAGTTATCATATAGAAGAAATTATATGAAATTGTTAAAAACACACACACACTGACTCACCAATCATCATTTTAGTGTGAACATAGATCATGAAGCGGCGTGCTTCTTGTGCTCGGATATAGTCTGTGTCCGGTTCAGGTTTCTCTGAAGGCACATACTCTCCATCTTTCTTGACCTCTCGGTTTCCGAGGCAGAAGAATGTTAGATAATCTCTAGGATCCTCTTCCTCGAGACCCTTTTCTCTAAGTGCCTCGATAACATCTTTGTACATCATCTCCATTGTTCTTCTCTGCCAATCCAATATAGCTTGAACTGATCCACTCTCAGGAATCCCTTCAGGCCACATTGGAACAACAACATAAACTTTAAACCTCTCTCCTGCTTTGATCTTGCTAACAATCTTCAAAGAGAGCTCCTTTGGAATCAAATGCAGAGCATTGATTTCCTCAGGTTTGATTCCATCCGCACTCCAAGCGAAAGAGCTTCCTAGGAAGTACTGGTTTTCGATATAGATGAAATCTTTGGCTCGTCTTATCGCGTGAATGTACGCATCTTGAATACTCCTATCAATTATATTATCTTTTCCACTCACAAGACCTGCATCAGCTGCAGCTTCAGGAGATTCAGGAAATGCAGCAGCTGCTCCACCATCGATTGATCTAAACAACTGAACATTCCACGAGTCACGATCCTCTGAGAACAAAACTGGAGAAGGAGGGATGATAATGTCATCGAGATCTCTCATCTTAACCAAAATATCTTTACCGCCTTGTCTGTTCCATCTCTGTTCAAAGTTATACAAAACATCCCAAGCAATAGGTCCTTCAAGACGACAGTGAATGTCATGCCATGGCTCTCTAGGACCGCCTTTGGTTATCGCTGCGCCAGTGAAATTCGGTTGGTGGAAATCATCGTGATGCGCAGTATCCAATGTCCTGAACAAGGAGTGAAATGGAGTGTCGTATCTTCCATCACAAAGATCAAGACCACCAACGAAGCTCACGATTCTTCTTGACCTTGATCTTGATCCTCCTGAACTCGGCATTTCGCTGTCTACAACAACAATCTTTTGGTGATGAGTGAACATAGTTGAGACTTGCAGGTTTTGAATTATGCTTCCACCATCATCAGGGTTACGAGGACACAAGACACAGTTCACGTCGGTTCCTCTGAAGAAATTCTCAGTTTCTTCATCATGAGTAGCCATAAGTCCATCTTTTTTCAGCAAATCAACCGATGTTCTATCGTCCCAAACAAGCAAAATAACCTTAACACCTTCACTCGCTTTCTTCTTGAGTATCTCACCAATGGTCACATCTCCTCCATGTTTAGGCCTCCTCGAGTCCCTCACCAAAGAGATCTCAGTGTAAACAGACCAACCAGTAATGTAAATCAAGTGTTTAGCATTAGTAATGGCATCCAAAATATCTTCCCAACATCGATTTGGCTCATAGTTTTTCCCTCCAGCGAGAGGAATTCTCGGGACAAAGTTTTCCGGAATGTGAGCATCTTGATACAGAGAAACTTTGCAGCCTCTTCTCTGAGAGAAGAACGTGTAAGGAACACCTGGAAATTTAGCGCTTTTGATACCTCGGTTCCAGTTTCGATCTTTCTCAACACCGAAATACTGAAGCTTCACATGGATCTTTGATCCTCCATTAATGGGTTTTCTCTCGGTATCTAGAATCTCAACCCATCTATCAACTTCCTCTCCATGGAAAATATCCTCAACTGGAACATAAGCTCTTCCGATCAACGTTGCGCCAATGGGATTATCGTCTTTGACAGTGAAGATAACATGTTTAGCCATGTGACCACAGTAAATGTGGAAAGATTCATACCACTTTGGGTTCTTTGGTTCTTTTGTTATCTTCCTGGTTCTTCCAACTCTCGCTTTCTCTAGATCGATTGTTGCGTAGAGCTGAGTTTCTCCTTTGCCAACACCGATTGTTTCTTCCACATTTGCTAGAATCTGAAAATATTCAAAACAGAACACTCAAGAGAGAGATTGATGGAAACAAAAAATGATTTTAGTGAATCTAGAAAACTTAGAAATGAGAGACAAAAGATTATACCTGTCCTAAGAAGCCTGATCTGCCTCCTTCAACATGTAGACGATCAACTTCATAGATTGTAGCGTGTAATCTTCCGTGTAACATAAACTCTTCCATTTTTTTTTTTTTGACCTGCAAACATCATAACAATCGTAACCCATTGGAAAAGTAGTATATTTGTTTCCTCATACATTAGTAATGAAACAAAGCTGGATATTACACAATAGGCTTCAAGATCAGAGAAAAAAAGAAAACAATTGTCACAAATTACATTCAAACTACCCCAGAAACTAAACCAATCAATACTCAAACTCTGAAGAAACAGAGACAATCCTGATCTAAGACTATAAACCGTAACTGATCTCGATCAAAACAAAATCGGATCAAAGAAACAGTTAAGAGGGTAATCAAATTCCACATTATGGACGAAAAGCAAAGCGAAACAGTGAGATCACAAATAAATAACGAAGCTAAAAGCTTTGGTGTAAGTTTGGGAAACTCATAAAAGCTTTGGTTAGAGTTCTCACAACAAGAAAAGAAGAAATCAGACGATCTCGTCCCAAAATAAGAAACCAGACGATTCGTGATCCCCACGAAAACCTTCAAAAAGGATGAGATTTGCAGAGAAGAGGAAGAACAAGAAAATGAAATGTATTGAGAAAAAAAAATGTATTGAGAAACATATCACCTGCGAAATTCTCAGAAATTCAAAGAGATAGGAGAAGCTCGTTTAGAAGAATTCAGGATTTGATCCGAGAAGGAAGCTCTTTGAATGAGAGCTACTTTGTCTGTGGAGCTGCTGAATATTTTCTGTGATATTAATAGAAGATGAAGCAAATTCTAAACGAGATCTACAAAAAATAATAATTAAATTAGTAAGTAATACAAAAAATCCATTAGACGTAACGAACTGTAACGATTCAACTCCAAAAACCACGCACTGTAAGGTTAAGACATTGATGACTAATACGTGTCCAAATCACGGAGATTACCAATAAACGATGATACTAATGTCTCTCTCGAAATGCTTTTAAATTTTTTACTGATTTTAAATCGTTTAAAAAAAGTATATTAACCGGTATATTGATTTTTTTTAATAAAGTAAAGTTAGTTTGACTCATTTCGGTTAATTATTCTATTCTTCTCCAAGCTGGTTTGATTTGAATCCGTCTGGTATAAGACCAAACAAATTTACCGACCATAACTGCCTAATGTAATTAAAAAGAGAGAGAAAGGACCTAAAAAAACCCTTACTTTGGCCACAAGTTAGTCCGAATCTCTCTCTCGTCTTCACATTTTCCCCAAATCAGCGGAAAATCCAATCTGATTCTGAAACCTCAAACCCAAAAAAGCCAACGAGCCAAACGCGCGTTATACTCTTTTCCAGAAATGGGGAAGAGACCGCCGATTCCACCGGACATCGAAAACGCACCACCATTACCACCACCACCATCGCGACCGCAGTTTCGCCCTCCCGTTCCCGTGCCATGGTACGCATGGCTCGTGCCTCTCATTTTGGCAGCTAACTTCATCATATTCGCCACCACAATGTACGTGAACGATTGTCCCGCGAGATCAGACGAGTGTCTCTTGTTTGATGTTCTTGGAAGGCTTTCGTTTCAACCGCTTAAGGAGAATATGCTTCTCGGTCCTTCCATTCCCACGTAAGAAACAGATTTCTTGATTCCAAAATTGATTTCTTGATGGATGATGAATCTTGATGGATGATGATTTAGGCTGAGGAAACTCGGAGCTCTCGAAAGGAGACTTGTGCAGGAAGGTGAGAAATGGCGTCTCATCTCTTGCATATGGCTTCACGGTGGGCTTCTTCACTTGATGGCTAACATGATCAGCCTCCTCTGTATCGGAATGCGTCTTGAACAAGAATTCGGATTCTGTAAGACCCTTTTCAAAACCACTCTGTTTTTTCCCGTGGTCAAGATCCTGACTCCTGAATTTGATTTTATCTGATTTTAACAGTGAGAATCGGAGCTTTGTATGTGATCTCCGGGCTCGGTGGAAGCCTGATGTCTTGCTTGACAGATTCCCAAGGAGAACGTGTATCAGTAGGAGCATCGGGGGCTTTGTTTGGGTTACTCGGTGCAATGCTCTCAGAGCTAATCACAAACTGGACAATCTATGAAAACAAGGTAAACAATAATCAGCTTCAACTTCAGATTTAATGAGAAGACTGTACGATTCATTATATAAAGCTGATGTATCTTTTCTTTTTTGGCAGTGTACCGCACTTATGACATTAATCTTGATCATTGCACTGAACCTAAGCGTCGGTTTCTTACCGCGTGTGGATAATTCTGCTCATTGTGGAGGATTCTTAGCCGGTTTTTTCCTCGGCTTTGTCCTTCTTCTCCGTCCGCAGTACGGATACGTGAACCCAAAGTACATTCCTCCTGGTTATGACATGAAACACAAGAAACCAAAACACAAGTGTTATCAACACATCTTCAGGTTTACATCCCTAGTCATCCTTCTTGCAGGGTAAGTTCACCAAAGACTCAATGAACCATTGCTCAGAAACAGCTTTAACACTTGATTTTCGAGACTAGATGTAAATTGTTGGATGTCGTTAGGAAGAAAGTGGGATTTCCTAAGCTTCTCCATCAACACAAACAATATCCAAAAGTTGTTCTGATAGTTGTAAAAACACTTTCCCCTTGCCAGTAAATGCTAAACATTTCGTTTTTGAAATCTCTGCAGATTCATTGCGGGATATACTAAGCTTCTCAGAGAACATACCGTAAAGAGCGTGCCATTCAGAGATTTCAATTAGCAGCATGCACCACTGACACATTCTCTGTAAAAGACTACTTTCACACGATCCCAACATTTTTCCATATTGGATACAAATACCATCATCGGAGCGCACATGATTCGAAAAAGTATTACACATGTATCAGTTGTTCAAAGGCTGTTGTAACTATACATCTGTATAAAAGCATATACATTAATCTGTAGGAAACATTTTTCTCATATCTAGATTTTTTTTTTTGGTGGCAAAAGTAGCATCACAATCAACGATGTATTCTTAGATCTCACATGAATCAGACCGACCAAACATTGCATAACGGTTGTTTGCAACATTTTCATACACAAAATCCCTCACAAACCTGCAAAATACCAAAAACAAAATTGTCCATAAGATCACTCACAAAGATCACTCACACGAGGCGTTTCTTTGCGTTATTATTCAAACCTGTAAGTGAGAACTTACAGAGGCGCAAACTGCAAAAAGAACGCAATTTGTGGAAATGGCAAGTCAATGTATTTCATGATCTTCAAAACCGCTTCTGATTTGATGTAAGACCTGAAGAAAATCACATCAAAATAAAGCGAAATACTGTGATGGCTAATGAAGTTCTTTTTCAGTTCACATTGAAACACAAATGTGCTACCTATCCTTCTCCACAAGTACGACACTCGATATATCATCAGGAGCTCTTCCTGATCGCATTAACAGTTTCTTGCCCTCTTCGCTCTGTAATGCTTCAAACCTTATGCTCCTGAAAACAATTTCATATTTTTATTCCCACTTCCATTTCAGTTCTTGATTGATCTTGCAGTGAGAAAAAAAACTAAAGTTCTTAAACAACATTGATCACTCAGATCAACACTGACCTGTTTTTATCATGGTCTCGGACAAACTTCACACCTCCATTACAGAGATTGCAGACACCTAAAGAGTCATAAGATTCATCAGAAAAAAAAAAAACAAAAATTACTATGTAAGATACAGAAATTGACAAAGGCTAAACGGAAATCTAAACAATATATATTATTTAGTGGGTTTTGATAAATGGAGTAACTTTTAAAATGAAATTAGAGATTAAATAAACGTGATTACCGTCGAACAACATGATCGGCCTCTTGTCTTCTTCGAAAAAGCTCGAAGTTTCCTTGACCCAGTCGACAGAATCGCGACGCAAAGTGCGTGAATTAGCAGAAGCAGAGACTCTCAGTCTAACTTGCGCACGCGACGGAACGGTTAATCGCTCGAAACTCGCCGGAATAAGGATTGCCATCTCAAGCTTCTCCGGAGAGCCACTAAAAATTTTTGGCTTGCCTTTGATTTATTTCCTCGAATAGTGGTGCTTTCGTAAATAAAAGTCGATGTTAGGGGTAAAATACGTGACACGTCATCAAAATGTAGCCACTCAAAGATTCAAACCACGTCACCAAATTGTAGCCACTGTAGGATTTGAACCGGATCTTAGTTTGTAAACCGGTTCTCCGATTTTGAGACAAACGCTCTTGGTCTTGGAGAACTCGTGCCTTAAAGCATTGGTCTTCTCCACTGCTTCGCTTGAAAGTTGAAACAAACGTTCGTCTCTGCGATCTGAATTATTTCGGTGAGACTCTGGAAAAAATCGAAGCTCAAAGATGGGTTGGATCGGAGACACCGTAGATTCTATCAAATCTATTCAGATCCGTCAGCTTCTCACTCAGGCCATCAGTCTTGGTTAGTTCTTCATTACATCTAATATGTTTTTACCGATTTATGTCCGATTTGGATTTCTGTTTCCGTAAACTGATCAGTTGGTAGCTAGGGTTCACTAATTTACGAACATTGCCGCTCCACTTAGTAAAGTTGAAATCTTCCCAGGAAATTAAAGACCCTTTGGTTGTTGGAATTGGTGAGCTCGATTGTGTTTCATAAGATCGCTTTCCTGAAAATTTAGCTCTGATTCCGAAAATGATGCTAGTGTTACATCGTGAGTGCGAATTTTATTGTTAAAGTCTGCGACTTTCCTTTGTTCTGAGCTAACAAGTGTAGCACCTGATGATTTATTGGTGGTTGGATTATTTGTTTTCATTATGAGTCTTATGACAGAATTGTCTCAATAGTTAATGAAGAATTGTTCTCTGTGCTGTTGTTTGATAGGGATGATTGTCACGTCTGCTTTGATCATATGGAAAGCTTTGATGTGCGTCACCGGAAGCGAATCTCCCGTGGTGGTTGTTCTATCTGGAAGCATGGAACCCGGTTTTAAGAGGGTAACTGGACTTAGTTTTCTGAGATCCATTACATTTTGCAGCGGCTTTGCTCAAACTTGGAATCATAGTGTATTGAACGTGATTTCTTGTAGGGGGATATACTGTTCTTGCACATGAGTAAGGACCCGATTCGAGCAGGAGAAATTGTTGTTTTCAATGTTGATGTGAGTTTCTCATTTTTTTTTTAATCTCATTTGTTCTCTCTCTTTGTTTTGTTGGTCATTCTCCTAATCGGTCTTTTTGCTTCTCCTCAGGGTCGTGATATTCCCATTGTTCATCGTGTCATTAAGGTAACGTTTTTCTAGACTCTGCCATTATCATCTCTTGGTACTTATATTGTAAAAGCTTGATGTAAACATACCTGATTCTTGGGGCTTGACACATTATAGGTTCATGAAAGGGAAAATACTGGAGAAGTCGATGTTTTGACTAAAGGTACTGGTTTTATTGATTTCATGGCGGTATTCTTCGGCATGCATTTACATTTCAATTTTTTCTTTTATATGTTTTCAGGTGACAATAACTATGGAGATGATAGACTTCTATATGCTGAAGGACAGCAATGGCTTCATCGACATCATATAATGGGCCGTGCTGTCGGGTAAGCTCTCAATCCCCCCTATGGCCCTATATAGTTTTAAACCAAATGGTTTAGTTACTTATGAAGTGTTTACCTTTTGTCTGTTTCAGCTTCTTGCCTTATGTTGGATGGGTGACTATAATTATGACAGAAAAGCCAATCATCAAGGTAATACATTCTCACTCCATGATCCAATCCAAAAAGATATTTTTAGTCTCTTTTGGGTTCTGTGACCGTGACATTTGCATCTTATCTTCTTCTTGCAGTATATTCTCATAGGTGCATTGGGCTTACTCGTTATAACATCCAAGGATTGAGTCTCTTGGAAAGGAATGGACTCTGCAAACCCTTGTTTTATCATCCTTTTGGTCTTGTTATTTCAATGGGAAAAAAAAATTAAAAGACTGGTCATTTTGTGGTTTCGACCACTTTTAGAGTTTAAACTTTATTATATACACTAGAATCAGAAGCTAATTTTAAATCGTGGAGACTAGATTACCGTACAATTGAGATTTGCTTTCTTCTTAACGGCCTTGCTTTCCTTTCCCATCAAAGAAGAATCAAAAGAAATAGAATTAAATCAAACTAAAGAAACAAAATTCATCAACATTCTAAGTTTCGGGTTAATCTGAATCAAAGCTAATGTTAAGGGTAGATAGTAAGTGATGAATACAATATGAGGACCTATGTGAGAATAAGTTAACTTGAATTTCTTTCCTTGATGAATCAACGACGTTGACGATTAAACCACTCACACTTCACAGTCGTCTTTTGTAATGTCTAAAACCCTTCTCTCTCGCATCAAACCGCTTACCAATCCTCCTCCATCTCATCTCCCAATAACTCCCAAAATCAGGAAACAAGTTAGCGACACCGTCAACATCCTCAAAACCCAGCAAAACTGGTCTGAATTGCTCGATGATGATGAAGTCCGCCTCGTCGACATTTCTCCTTACGTTTTCGATCGAATCCAGGATGTGGAAATCGGGGTTAAGCTTTACGATTGGCTGTCGAGTCAGAGAAAAGAGGAGCTCTTTTCAAATGGGTTTGCTTGTTCTTCGTTTCTGAAGCTCTTAGCGAGGCATAGGATCTTCGATGAGATTGAAGATGCGTTGGGAAATCTCAGAAAAGAAAATGTGAAGGTTACTCATGAAGCATTGAGCCACGTTCTTCACGCGTATGCTGAATCAGGGGTTTTGAGTAAATCCGTGGAGATTTATAATTATGTGGTTGAATCGTACGGTTCTGTGCCTGATGTTATTGCTTGTAACTCGTTGTTGAGTTTACTTGTCAAAAGTAGGAGACTTGAAGATGCACGGAAGATGTATGACGAAATGTGTGAGAGAGGTGGTTGTGTCGATAATTACAGTACTTGTATACTGCTCAAGGGTATGTGTAGTGAAGGGAAGGTAGAAGAAGGTAGAAAGCTTATTGAAGATCGATGGGGGAAAGGTTGTGTTCCGAATATTGTGTTTTACAACACAATCATTGGTGGATACTGCAAGCGAGGCGACATTGAAAATGCGAATGTAGTTTTCAAGGAGTTGAAATCAAAGGGATTTATGCCAACTTTGGAAACTTTTGGAACAATGATAAACGGTTTCTGCAAGAAGGGGGATTTCGCGGCGAGTGATCGGCTTTTGAGGGAAGTGAAAGAAAGGGGTTTAATAGTCAGTGTTCGGTTCCTGAACAACATCATGGATGCTAAGTATAGGCACGGTTCGAAGGTTGAACCAGCTGAGAGTATACGATGGATAATGGCTAATGGTTGCAAGCCTGATATAGCAACATATAACATTTTGATTAATCGTTTTTGTAAAGAAGGGAAAAAAGAAGATGCTGTTGGGCTTTTGGATGAAGCATCAAAGAAAGGGTTAACTCCGAGCAATATAAGCTATGCCCCTTTAATACAAGCCTATTGCAAAAGCAAAGAGTATGATATTGCTTCTAAGTTGCTTCTACAGATGGTTGAAAGAGGATGCAAACCAGATATAGTTACATATGGAATTCTTATTAATGGTCTTGTTGTTTCAGGCCATATGGATGATGCAGTTAAGATGAAAGTTAAAATGATAGATAGAGGAGTTTCACCGGATGCCGCCATCTACAATATGTTGATGAGTGGATTGTGTAAGAGCGGTAGATTTTTACTTGCCAAACAACTCTTTTTGGAGATGTTAGACCGGAATATTTCACCAGATGCTTATGTGTATACCACGCTCATAGATGGATTCATCAGAAGTGGTAATTTTGATGAGGCAAGGAAGGTTTCCACTCTCTCAGTTTTGCAGATCTGGAATGTTGATGCCGTGCACCACAATGCTATGATAAAAGGGTTTTGCAGATCTGGAATGTTGACTGAGGCATTGTTGTGCATGAATAGGATGACTGAAGAAAATCTTGTACCAGATGAGTTCACTTATTCCACAATCATCGATGGGTATGTAAAGCAACAGGATATGACAACCGCCATTAAGATTTTCCGAGACATGGGTAAGAGTAAATGTAAGCCAAACGTGGTAACTTACTCATCCCTTGTTAATGGATTTTGTTGCCAAGGGGATTTCAAAATGGCTGAAGAGACTTTCAACGAGATGCAATCATTTGGCCTTGTGCCTAACGTTATCACCTACACAACACTCATAAGAAGTTTTGCTAAAGATGGGAGCACCCTTGGGAAAGCAGTTTACTACTGGGAGCTAATGTTGAGAAACAAATGTGTCCCAAATGAAGTTACCTTCAATTGTCTACTTGAGGGATTTGTGAAGAAAACATCTGGAGAAGTTCTTGCTGAACCAAATGGATTTAATGAGAGACAAAGTTCTCTGTTTTTTGAGTTTTTCTATAAAATGAAATCAGATGGGTGGTCGGACCATGGTGCTGCTTACAATTCTGTCCTCGTTTGTCTCTCTGTACATGGAATGGTGAAGACTGCTTGCAGGTTTCAGGATAGGATGGTGAAGAAAGGTTTCTCTCCTGATCCTGTTTCATTTGCTGCTATTTTACATGGCTTTTGTGTGGTTGGGAACTCAAATCAATGGAAGAACACAGACTTCTGCAATCTGGACAAGAAGGGCCTTGAGATAGCTGTTAGATATTCGCGTGTTTTAGAGCGACACTTACCTCAAGCAGTGATCTCTGAGGCTTCAACAATTTTGCATGCAATGGCTGAAAATGCAGACACCAAAGAACATGATACCTGTAGAATCTCAGCAGATAGAGATAGGGTTTGCTGCTGAATGAAGAGAAAAAAAAATGATCTCAGAATGTGTACTACTTTCTTGTATTTGCAAACAGGAGCGTCTCATCAACTCTCAAAGTGGTACATGAACAAGTTGTTGTTGTTACAAATGTGTGTGAACTCAAGAATGAGGTAAGAAAAAAATCAGCATTACAGCTCAAATTCACAGAAGCAATCGGGCAAAGCAAAACCTCTTCCGATGGAAAAATCGTTTTTATGAACTTCCCAAAGAGCTTTCTTCAACTCCGCGCCTTCAAGCCCCTGAGAAGTGAGTTCTGCAAATGCTTTTCTGCTCAGGAACAGAGTATTATGCATCCGTTTATATGTTCGCATAGCTGCAACTATTTTATCCATGTTTCCAAAGTAAGTAGCCACATACGCGTCACTGTTGATGGACACATGATAATCCAATGCAGCTTTTGTGTTTCCATGCATTCTGGTGAAATCCTCTTGGTTAAGTAAAGCAGACTTTGTGAATACATTTGTATACACGGATGTGAATCCTTCCATCTCCATTAGACCGTCTCCAGCTGCTAAGTATATGTTTGTGCTTGTTGGAATGTTAAGTGACTGAAGCATCAAAACTGTTTCATTAGGAGTCAGAGGGCATTTGCCTCGCTTTCTCCAAATCTGAGCTAGTTCTCCTGTCCATGGCTTCCTGTCAACACGAGCAGCTTCAACGGCAGCGATAGATGAAGGAGAGAGGTTTGGGTATTCACATTGGCTGTACGCTACCATGTCTGGTTCAAATCTGAGGTGAAGCGACAAGAAGGGTTTGGGAATAGCATCGAAAAGCTCGACGGCCTTCTTCTCCAAGGAACTATTAAGGCGTAAAGCTGAATAACAGGCTTGACATAGAGTGGCAAAAGCATACTGGGGATACCTGGAAATGCATTGTATAATAGTAGAAAGTGTAAGAAACTTGAAAATGTCCAGAAATAGCAATTACCGACTAAGACAATAGAGACTAATTAGAAAGGCACCTGTCCCTGCGTTGGCTCATTGCTGGTGTAAAAGAAATGTAATGATGTTCCAACAATGATGGAAGAACACTTTCAATGTAATCGAATTGACCTTTCCTTTTGCTACAGTCTACTCTGAATGGTTCTTTTGATGCAATATCTTTTGGCAGTTCTTTTACAACTTCGATAAAACCACTCATCTTTTGAATAAAGTAGTCTACATCAAACACATCTGCAAATCCACTACACCAAGAATATCACTGATATTATTTCTCTTCCTTAATACGAAACACAATTGAAATTGCTGTATAAGCTTTGATCTCAAGAGAAAGCAAGAGTACCTTGACTCGTTCCAGTATGCAGCTACCTCAAACTTTGGCAGAACAAGTGTGGCATTCAACAAACGGGCAATTCCAACTCCATCACACAACTGCAAGCAGCATCACATCATCACATGATTTGTTTCCCAAGGCATAAACAATGCAAGTTGAAGACTTCATGGGTTAAAAACAATCTTTCACGACATGTCAGATTCTCTTGCTTTTCTCAAACTTACATCGCGTCTCATCTGATTCAGGCCGCCATAGCAATCAACACGGATGTATCCATTAGTTTTAGCTGGTAGAGCTGCAGGATTTGAACAAAAAACCAAAGCAGTTGTCTGCAATGAAGACCGATCACAAAGTTCAGAGAAGTAAATTCACTACAATCAATCTACACTCTACCCAACTAGCAATTGTTACTCTTTTCAGACCAAATCCAAGCTTTAATGGCCCATGTCAACAAAAATGTCTACAATTAACTACCGATTTACATCAAATCTGCTTCCAAGTACTATAACTGCAATGAAGACCGATCACAAAGTTCAGATGAGTAAAAAGTTTTACTCTTTTTAGATAAAAATCCAATTTTTTAAAAGAATAAATGGCAAGTGTCAATAAAAATGTCTACAATTAACTACCAATTTACATCCCATCTGCTTCATCCCAAGTACTATAACCGCAAATCAGAATACATCCATTACAGTATCTTTCAATTGAAAAAAAAAAAAACTAGAGTGAGATCTTCAACTCAAAAACTTAGGAGACTGCTAAGAAGAGAATGCATACGAGTAAGATGTCCTTGCAACCACCATTTGCAAGGCCTCCATTCCATTATCCTCTTGACACTCCATATATCAGAACCCCTGAAGCAGAGAACATAACGATCAATGTTTAACCGAATGATTCGTCTCAAACATCTCTCAATATCCTGTGTGGTGCGATTCTTCGTGAACCCAAAATCGAATCAGTAATTGAAAACTACAGAGACAAATCACTTACACCGACGAACCCGAAGGAACCTGAATCTGGAGGAAATGGGGAGACGGAGATAGAAGAATAACAACGAGGAGAAGAGAGAAAGTTAAGACAAAGACGAACAGTGGTTTCACCGGAGATGCAATCATTTGATGGGTTGTGAGATTCAACTTCAGATCGGAGCTTGCATATGAATCATCAGATCTATAAAGCTTCACACTTTCATCGTCGGTGGCAGACTCTGTTTCATCAGAAAACTTTTCTCCGGGTAAAAAGAAGAATTTTTTTTTTACCGAACCTTCTTCTTCATTTAAAAGGTTTTAAGCATCTTTTTCCGGGTTTTTAGGGTTTATATAAATGTGTTTTTAATAAAGTTTGTAACACAAGTTAATGAGAAGAAACCCTAGAACAAAGTTAATGAGAAGGAAGAAACCCTAGACAAAATAAGAGGTACATATATCTCTCAATCTCATTGCTTTCTTTGTTGTTTACGCTGGTCTGCGATGGAGAGACGAGAAGAAGAAGAAGAAGAAGAAAACGAAGATAGGGAGAGAGGAATAGAATCTAAAGAAAGTGAGAGTAGTGATGATGATAAGTTTTTAGAGTTGACCATTCCTCTTGATCTGATTCAGGATATACTCTTGAGACTGCCTGCTAAATCCGCTGCGAGGTTCCGTTGCGTCTCGAAGCTATGGTCGTTCATCACCACTCGTCCATATTTCATCAGCTCCTTTGTCACTCAGGCTTCAACTCATCGGCGGCTGTGTTTAAGGGTAGGAGCAAGAGACAAGTCTATCTTTGTCTCACTACCCCAATATCCAGACAAGTCTTGTTCTCATCATGTGGACTGTCGTAAGATGAATTTCTCCAACTTCGAGTATCAACAAGAGTGGTCCGAGTCGGTCCACGGCTTGATGGTTTTAGGAATGTCTTATGGGATCTTAGTTTGGAATCCTACCACGGGACAGCATGTTACCTTACCTGAACCCATGTTCGACTATAAATATTACTGTTTAGGATACGATCCGGTCGATGATAAGTTTAAATTATTGTGCATCTCACGGGATAGACACCAAGTCCCTCTTGTTCTTACATTGGGACCTCGAGAAGAATCATGGAGAGAGACCCAAAACAGCCCTTCACATTTTTCCATTAGACGAAAAGGTATATGTATCAATGGGCATGTGTATTATCGAGCTAAGATACATTTTCAAGGTGAAGAAAGGAGAAGTAAAGATAAGAAAAGAGTCCTGATGAGGTTTGATGTGAGGTACGAAAATTTCAACACAATATCAATACCAGAGGATCCTACACTTGGCAATCTTATTTTCGAATACCAAGGAAAATTAGCATGGTTTTGCTCCGACTTATCATCTAGTATAAGATTTTGGGTTTTTGAGGGTGGAAAGAAACAAGAATGGTCGCCTCGAGACTTTCTTTTGCCATTTCCAAGATTTGCTCTACATGACCCTGTTTGGCAAGTTCCAATGTCTTTGTGTGGTGTTGCTCATGAGACTGGCGAGTTCGTTTATGTAGCAGCAAGCACTACAAGAAAATATACAAGAAAATATGCTGAATTCCTATGAATTTTCCTACGAAAATTTTGGTAGAAATGTTTTTTACCATTTTCCTACAAATTTATGACAAAAAATAGAAATGGTAGGAAATTGATAGGAAATTTTCTATGATAAAAATCGTTGAAAAACGGTCAAAATTTGCTTACCAATATTCAACCAAAAAAATATTCGTAGGAAATCTGATCAGAAAATGGTAGGAAATCGGTAAAAAAATTTTACTGTGATAATGGTAGGAAATTCGCCGAAAATTTCTGACCACTTTTCTACAAACAGAATATGTAGAAAATTACCTATCAATTTTTTACGAAGCAAATATTTTATTATTTAAATATCTTATCAATTTCCTACCAAAATCAGTCAAAACAAGAAATGGAAAAAATCCCACATCGACAAACCAAAGTGAAAAACACACTGAACAGACTCTATAAATAGTGACATACCTTAATTAGAAAAAAATACTAAGTGAATTAATATAATTTAGAATTTAGAAGTTCCATATTTAGTTAAAATTAATTTCTAATTAGTTTTGGGCTGATTAATTTAGATTTAATTTTTATAATTTATTTAATAATTAAAATTATTTAATTTTGAAATTAATTGAATTAAAACTGTTTTTATATATCTAGTAGAAATTTGGTAGGAATATGGTAGGAAAATGTTTGTAGGAAAACAGCTGAATTTTTTCGTAGGAAAATAGAAGGAAAGTAATAGCAAATATCCTACGATATTCTAACCAATTTTTTCGATGAAATTTTCCGACCAAAAGTTTCGTAGGAAATTTTCTACCATTTTCTGACCATTTATAATTTCCAATGGCATATAACATACCGAAATTTTTCGTCGAAAATTGGTAAGAAATGCCGGTTTCCTACCATTTTTTGATGATATTTTTTGTAGGAATACCTGCTGTTTTTTTGTAGTAAAGTATTGAATCAATTAGTGTTTTATATTATGATCCAAAGAGAAACAGTACAAGGAGGGTCGAATATGGAGGGTTTGGAGACAAACATACCAAACTCAAAGTCAAAGATCTCTATTGTTTCCTAAATCACAAGGAGAGCCTCATGTCTTTGGACAAGTTTCCTCGTCGCTATGTTTCTTCTTAATGTGATTCTTCTTCACGTCGTGATTATGTTGCAGTTTTATTGTGGTCATTGAAAAATCAAGCTACTCTTGAGCCCATCCAAATCTTGAATTCATATAACTAACTCTAAAATGTTTTTTTCTTCATATGTTTTCTCTCATATCAAGCTCAATATCATCATCATCTTCGCTTTCTTCACTCAATATCCAAGCGATGGTGAATCCAATTATTTTTTGTGGTCATTGAGAAATCAAGCTACTCTTTGAGCCCATCCAAATCTTGAAGTCATATAACTAACTCTAAAATGTTCTTTTCTTCATATGTTTTCTCTCATATCAAGCTCAATATCATCATCATCATCTTCGCTTTCTTCACTCTTACGTCCCACTCTCCTCCTCTTCCCTCTCATCTCAACCGCCATTTCTCTAACCGAACAAGAACTACTCCTCTCCATCTTCCCGGCCAAAACATCCACAACATCCATTTGTCCCCAACCGACTAACCGATTCCTCAACATCTCAACCGTTGTCGAATACGGTGGAATCCCATCATCAATCATCATCTCAAAGTACCTACAAGCTTCCTCTATCTTCCCTTTCTTCCTCACCAACCCATGAATCATCACTGTGTAAGTAGCAACCGTCGGATAAAACTCTCTCTCACTCATTCCTTCCCACATCTCCGTCACACGGTCAAATCTCCCTATCCTTATCAGCAACTTGAGAACCATGTTGTAAGTGTGTCTATCAGGTAAACACTTGGTTCTATCCATTCTAGAGATCAGCTTCGTTGCACGATTCACTTCGCAGTGATCGCAGTGGTAAGCCATTATCGAATTGTAAGTCCAAGTATCAGGATTAGCCCCTCTCTGAATCATCTCATCTAACAGTAAGTAAGCATCATCAACTCTCTCCTTCTTGCAGAGTGTTTTGATGATATGGTTGTATGTGTACACGTTTGGTACAAGTTCGTACCTTTGCATCCGATCAAGAACCTTATAAGCCGAGTGAACGTCGTCCGCGTCGCAATACGCGTGGATGAATATCGCGTAACTATATGCGTCTGGTTCAAGTCCAAGATTACCCATTTCTTGAAACATCTTATAAGCTCCATCAACATCACCGGATTTGCACAAAGCGTCTAATGAAGCGTTGTAAGCAAGCAAATCTACAGGGCAATTCGTCTCGAGCATTTCGTCGAACACCTTGCGTGCACCTGAAGCGTCTCGGATTCTAGCCCAGCCTCGAACCAAAATGCTATACGTCTTCGCGCTCGGTGCGATCCCGGCTTTGGCTCTGTCGAAAAAATCCTGCGCGTGATTTACATGTTTTCTATCGCAAAGAGAATGCAAAAGCTGGTCAAGATCATCAACGCAAGGCTTAATCCCAAACTCAATCATTCGGTTAAACGCTCGACTTGCTTCGCCAGGTAGATTAGCTCTACTATAAGCTCTAAACACAATCCAAAAGACTTTAGAGCTGATCTCAAAGTAGTTATACTCTCTGGCTTCGATTAAAAAATCCCAGAGCAAAGCGAATTGCTTGCTACTACCCAGAATCTCCACCAAAATGTGATAACTTTCCAAGCTGTGTTCGAAATCTGGGATTCGTCTTGCCCATAGAAAGAATCTGTGAGCAGGAAAACCGAGATTTTTGCAGCGCTTCAACACTTGTTCGACCAGATTCGACGAAACCCGTGGAGAGTAAACGCCAAGAGTGTGTTCGAGGTCGTCCTTAGGGTTCCGGTGATCGCTCAGAACGCGGGAGATTTCGTTTACAAGATCTGGCGATGGAGGATCGTGTGAAAGTGTAGAGAAGAAACGAAATGTCTGAGCTTTAGGGGTTTGATGAAGAGCGCGTATGAGAGAAGAGAATGTTCTAATCGCCATTAATGTGCTTTCCACTTTGAAACAAATCACAAAATGCAATTTTCAAAACGTAAAATCAGTTAATAACTTAATATACACTGAGCCCATAGAAAATTATAAATGAGCCCAATTATTTCATAGGCCTAATTATTTCAGAGGCCCAATGTTTATGTTGCAACGTTAATGTCAAGATGATTCGATTACTCCACTTGCATATGCTAAAAGACGGTTTTGGCTAGGACACCACTTTTCAAATGTGTTTTGTAAGATACTCACACTGTCACACATGGTTTGTAACTTTGTATTAAGAACAAAATTTATAAAATAAAAATTTGGAGACAATGTCAGATATTCAATGATATTTTATCAATATTCGGTTGCTTTTTATTTGAATATACAAAATATTATCGCTAAACCAAATGATAAAACTAATGTGCTTTGACGATTAAAAAAAAAAACCTATGTGTTTTATTTTTTTTGTTTTTGTTTTTGTTTTTTAATGTCGTTAAGTTGTAGAATATTTCTTATTGGGTTGAAATATGCTGGATTGATTTTATACATCAAAATTTCATCAAGTTTCTTTTAGCTAAAAAATTGTTATATGCCGAGTCTTGTTTTGCAATATTTCTATGTCCATCTTTGTCCCCGACAGAGATATCTATAAAAGAGGAACACACAAGTCTGGTCAGATTCAGACAGACTTTTAGTTACATATTGCTGATATTTAATTATTTGCAAAATGATAACACAAATATCGTACTTCCATAGTTTACTTTGGCATAAACAAAGAACTTGACATGATAACCACAAAGGGTGACCAACCAACAGAATAAACATTTTTAAATGATAATCTTGAATATATTACTAATAAAAAGGAGAGAATTCTGAAAAAATCCGACTCATACGATAATATACACAAAAAAAGTATTTTCTGTTATTTGATTGCTAATTGGCGAAGTAGTGCAGAGTTTCATCGGAACATGTATTAATCACTTTCATAAAATATAATACTCACACGCCGAATAAAATCTATTTAAACAACGTTTTTATGTAAGTTAATTAGCCTTAAATTCTCCAACAACCGTCACTAGACATTAGCAAAGATCACAACGTGCAAGTCAGTCCATGTTTAGACTAATAAAACACATTCATATAAATATATACACACAAACACATTTTCAAGAATCTACTCTGGGGAAAAGTTAAAAGATGGGGAAAGATTTCAAGAGTTTGGTTAGATGCATCTACGTTGGGAAGATTAACGATAATGTGAAGAAACTAAAGATCGCAACCGAAGAACTCAAAGATCTTGGGAACAACGTGATGAAAAGGGTCAAGATCTGCGAGGAGCAGCAACAGATGAAGCGGCTAGACACAGTCCAAGCATGGCTTAGACAAGCTGACACGGTTATTAAAGAAGCAGAAGAGTATTTCTTGATGTCTTCCTCGTCTTCGAGCCATGGTTTGATATCTTCAAGCCACAAGATGGAGAAGAAGATTTGCAAGAAGCTGAAAGAAGTTCAAGAAATTAAGAGTAGAGGAATGTTTGAAGTTGTTGCTGAAAAAGTTGGAGGCATTGGTGGAGGAGGCGGCGGCGGATTGACAGTAAAGGATGATGATGAGCAGACTGTAGGGTTAGAGGCGGTTTCGGGTTTGGTTTGGAGGTGTTTGACGATGGAGAACACTGGCATTATTGGAGTATACGGTGTGGAAGGTGTTGGGAAGACGACGGTTTTGACTCAAGTTAATAACAGGTTGCTTCAACAGAAGGCTAATGGGTTTGATTTTGTTTTGTGGGTGTTTGTGTCCAAGAATCTGAATCTTGAGAAGATTCAAGACACGATTAGGGAGAAGATTGGGTTTTTGGATAGGACTTGGATGAGTAAGACCGAGGAAGAGAAAGCTGCCAAGATTTTTGAGATCTTGAGTAAGAGACGTTTCGCATTGTTTCTTGATGATGTTTGGGAGAAAGTTGATCTCGGTAAGGGGTTAATTAAATCGATGCCTTGCGGTGCAAGAGTGTGAGTGTTTGTATTACTTGTAACACAAGTTATTGGTTTTTCTTTGTACAGTGAAAGCTGGAGTTCCACCACCGGATACGCAGAACCGGTCCAAGGTTGTGTTCACGACGTGTAGCGAAGAAGTTTGTAAGGAGATGAGTGCACAGACGAAGATCAAAGTGGAGAAATTGGCTTGGGAACGAGCTTGGGACTTGTTTAAAAAGAATGCTGGAGAAGAGACGGTGAAGAGCCATCCGGACATAGCTAAGGTGGCTCAGGAGGTTGCAGCCAGGTGTGACGGTCTTCCACTGGCTTTGGTCACCATTGGCCGAGCCATGGCCTCCAAGAAGACACCACAGGAGTGGCGTGACGCTTTATACATCTTGAGTAACTCTCCTCCTAATTTCTCAGGTCCAAATTTCTTAAATTGTTTTATTTATTCATTATAGGTTTTGTATTTTTTATTTTTTTGTTAGAAACTAATTATCATTTTTATTTATTGTTTTGTAACAGTTCTCAAGTTACTGGACAGGAACTAGGTGAAGAGATTGGGGATGATATTCTAATTTGAGGCATTTGTTTGATGTTACTGGCTAGGTTTCTCTTAAGAAATTGTTTGAATTTTTATTTATATTATTATGCATTTGTTTTGTAATTTTCTCATTGATTATAAATATATGGATTAATATTCTATATATCAGTGGATAAAAAAATCCGATTCAGTTTTAGTGAAACAAAGAATGGTAGGGACAAAGATTTGAGTGTGGTTTATTTGTCTATTTGTGTGGAGAAAAAAGAGAAAAAACAAAGCAGCATACACAAAGCACAAACATAAATAAACCAAAATTAGTTCTTAGTTCTTACTAAAGCTTCTTGATGCCAGGAAATGAAGGAAGAACTGTGATGAGAGCATCGTCGTATCCTACAGGCTCTGTTCGAATCGAAAAAAGAAAAATAACCCGAAACTCAAAAGAGAGAATTTATATCGGTAACGAGGAGCAATTCAGCTGCATAAAGAAAAGAGAGCCTTACCACCATCTTCACGGAGTATTTTGACAATCTCACCGGAAACATCAGACTAGGAAGAAAGAAAGCAAGAACAATATAAGAAGACCAATTATAGAGAATAAAAGCAAAAGAAAGCGAGAGGGATTATTATACCTCAACTGGGATTTGGCCACCAAGTTGTTCGATGTAGCATAAAACTTGACCTTCTTTCACTATGTCTTTCTGTTGAGTAACCAAAAACCAAACATATAATCAATCTTGAGAGACCCCAAATACTAAAGAGTCATAACTCATAAGAGAAGATGTATACCTCTTTACAGATTGTAGGAAGGCGTTTCCCTTTAACAGTCTTGGATCTCCTGAAATAACCAACCTGCAACAGTAAACTTCCACTCAAAGATATACCCCGAATTTGGCCGTACTCATGCCAGTTTAAAGACAATTATCTGTTCTCTAACCGTTGGAGATTGGAGAATCACTAAACCCTCATTATTAGCAGCTTTGTTAGCAAGTGTTTGCGGTCTGTCTCCTGAAGAAGATGATGTCTTTGTGATAGATAATGACGAAGACGTGGCTGAGCCATTTGTATTGATCCCCTCAGGAGTCACACTTGCAGCAACTACGTGCGGAGTTTGGTGAGGTGGTGGACTACTTTGGTCAGCTAATTTCTTTGCTACGTATAGGCGGAAACCTCCCAGCTATTATGCAAGTGGGAGAAAGCAGAAATATTAGACAAAATCTAAAGAGAACACTTAGCAAAAGACAAGTAATCAAATGAAAACTGGGGTTACTTTCAGTTCAAACTCTGCAATTGATGGAGATTCGGCGATTTCACTGATAAGTGCTTCCACCTAGAAGATAAAATATGAAACATAAAATGGTTCAAAATTCACATAACTCATGTCCAAAGCTGGCTCATCAGAGAAAAAATGGATCAAGAAAAGCAGAGAGTAGTTAACAGGGAGGTAAAACCAACCTCCGAGGACTTGGGAATGAGCTGAGCATTCACAACAGATGATTTGGTCTCTTCAGAATCTTCTACATCTGCAATAGATGTGGTGAAGAAATGTTAAAGAAGAAAACATACAACACACCATAACATTCAAAATAAAATAAAAAGGGTACTCTTTCCAGTTTCCAAATGTCATTCCATAAGCCACAACTTTAAGCATTGTCTAAAATGAGAGAACAAAGAAGATTAGTTTAAACCTGCTGTTTCTGCAGTTGGAACTACAGACAATTGGGAAGCTTTCACAGATTGCAAAGTTGTCCTCAGACTCGGATATTTCATGGGGATTTGGCCGATACATAGTCTTTGATTGTTCGGTATCAGCAAAAATTTGTCACATCTTATTAAATTTGATGCATAAATCTTAATCTTAGGAGCTCCTAAGCTACCTGAAAATAAACGTAAAGCTCTTTTAGAGGATGTTGACCTTATAGTAATATCATTAAACCAAATTAAAAAGAGCATGTTTTGAAACTGAAATCTAACTCGGTGTATTGTTATCTTTGCAATATTTCAATTTTATCACCAAGTGACGAACTCGAATAGCATTATCTTGAGACGAAGAAAAATCCAGAGTAATTATCAAAAGATCAAGATTTAAGTCACTAAAAGTCCTGAGATTTACTCAAACAAATGCATCATTAAATCCTAAATCAAGGCAAAGAATCAGGCTTCTCTATACACTTAATCACATTGCAAATAATCAACCTAATCATTCAAACCCAAGTTCCATTGATGAATGAGAAAAGAGGATTCACGAAGAGTGGCAAGAAATGAATTCATTTCAGAATCGAATTTACAACAAATCAAAACAAAGATCGTAGCTCGAGTATGAATCAAAATACAGGAACATTTATAGAGGAACTTACAGGAAGACATAAAGGAGGGAGAGGAGAAGGATTCGCGGCAGAGATAAATACGAAGAAGATGAGAATAGCCCAATGCGAACGAGGAAGACGATTAAATCAAAATTTGAGTGTGGTTCGTTCGCTTGTTCGATACAATCAGAGTGGTTTTTTTTTTTTTATGGTACAGCTAAGCAAGAAAGAGGAAACTGGATTTGGTTTGGGTTTTATGGGCCCAATTGCTTGGTCCACACAGACATCTATCTACTATTATTATTATTTTTTTTTGACATCAATCTATCTACTATTATTTAAAGAGTTCAATTTAAAGATAAACATTATTTTGTAAGTTACTATATCAAAATATTATAAATAAAAAAAAATAATTGAAATTGATAAGAGTGTAATTGTCTTTCATAAGTACTAGATGTTTAGCCCGCGATTTGCGCGGGCCGAAAGGTTTTAAAATCAAAAAATAAAGTTTTATGTTATAAATTAAAAAAATTAAAACAATTATTTAAGACATAAAAAATCAAAATAAAATTAACTAAAAAAATTAAACACAAACCAAAATTAATTACTTAAAAAAATACTGAATAATCCACAAACTAATTTAATTAAGATAAATTCTAGCCTTTCGTTTCCTATTTTTTCTTCTTCACTATTTTTTTATTTTTCTTCTTTATCGTTTTTTTCTTATTCTTCTTTCGTCCATATTTTTTTTTCCATGTCTTATTCTTTATTTTTTTCTCCCTCCCATATTTCTTATCAAATTTAGTATTCGCATCTTTTTTTATTATTCAGCACCTTCGTTTTCTTCGTCTTCTTCTTCTTTGTTTTTACGATTTATTCTTCTTCTCCTTCAGATATTTTTTTTCATATTACATACTCTTCATACTTTTTATGACTCTATATCTTTTGAGGCTGAGAAAAAAGATAAATACACACTTCAAACTTAAAACTCTCCTTAAAAGTGTGTTATATTATTGTTAGATGAGAAAGCTGCATTAACTTTTGTAGTTTGCTCCTTTTTGAACAATCAAAACTGTTTATGGGTAATCAACTTTAAAAAAGAGCTTAAACATATATACCAAAAAAGAAATTCTCAAAATTTCTTAATTACGCTAATAATTTAACAAAAATATCAAAAATTAAAGCAAATATCAAAATAAGAATTTAAGTAAAATGGAGTCTCCACAAAAGGATTGTGACAATTTCAAGGTCCCAAGATTTGCAGATTTTTATATGTTATTTATCATCAATTTCTTCCTCATTGTTGTGTTAGAATATTTATTTGTTACTCTATTAAATAATTTTAAAAAATGAAGAAAAGACAAAATTAGATGGAATTGAATCCTTCCAACATACAAACTTAAGAAAACCTAGAGTTTTAGCTACTTAAACATAAATTTTACATTTTTTGTGAAACTTAAGCAAGAAAAGCTTTACTCTGATCCAAAAACAACATTTTATTAATTAACAGTTCAAGCTCAACTGGAAATACAAGAAATGAAAACACTCCACACAGAAAAGATTTCAGTTGGAGAAACGTGCAAAAAAATCAAAGTACAAATAGTTACCTTTTTTTTTTTTCTTTTTTCACCTGTCTTTGCCCATAAATAAAATAAAAAAACCAGAAACCAATATCAAAAATATATCCCAACACTGGACATAAGAGACAAAAACACACAAAACTCATTCAAATAAAGTGATGTTCGAATAAAAAATAGTAATTTTGTTCATGTATCATCATTATTATCAATAGAACTAACTTTGAGAGTAAAAAAATGCCAAGTGGACTAACATTTGTGCTGGAACTAAACTCCTTGTTAGCTTGTTTTCTTTTGTTCTCGGCAGCGGCGGGTGGGGTCTTGGATAAAACACGGACCACCATGTTCTGCACCTCGTTCACCAAAGCTTCTTTTGAACGGTTATAAATTTAGGATTCATCAGATCAATTAATAATCCACAATCAGATGATTAAACCTGTGTTTTTGTACGTGTTCTTTAAAGTTCCATGTACCTTCCCAAAAGTTCAATCAGCTTGGCAACCTTCACAAGAACCAGGTGAACTCACATTTTATTGCCATGAGGGATTTAAACACCGTATGTCCTATAAACCATTCTGAATCGTCACCAAGAGCCTACACCACAAAACAGAATACATGATATTTTTGTAATAATTTTTTAAAACATATAAAACGCTCATAACTGACTCCGAGAACTGGTTAGGTTCATGATCATAATCTCGATCTTCATCACCAGCAAATGAAATCTGTTGCATCGCGAGATGAAACAATAAAACGCGAGCACCTAAGAAAGAAAAAACAAAAGCAATCAAAAATTAAAACAGATAAGAATCAATAAACAAAAGAAGGCTCGACTCAGCCCCAACTAATAAAAGAGAAAAAAAAGTTCACCAAAACTGGCTAATATATAAAACATAAATATGATAGATAATAAAAAAAAATCACAAATCTAAACCTAAAGCACAAAAAAATAAAATAAAATGTTACCCTTCGGTATAGCAGTAAAACTAAACAATCAACGATAAAGAAATTCCGGCTAAAACACCACTTCCTAAACAGGAAAAAACATCAAACACTATTATTAATAAGAAGAATTTATAAAATATAAATAGAATCCAACTTCTAATATAAATCAGAACGAAATATATTTCTAAAAGTTACAAAAGGGAAGACACAAGGTATCACTTAACATATATAAAAAAATATAGATCTACATGAGCTAACAGAAACAAATATAAAGCAAAAATAACAACCGAATAGAAAATTAAACAGCAAAAAAACTATTTTTTTAAGAAGTCACAAGATCACTATAATGTAAAACACATGAAATATATAGTTTACATGATCACCAAACATTACAACCATGCAAGTGAAGAAAAAAAATTGGTTGAAAAATCTTTAAGATTTATGCAAATCAGATAATTTGTATATATATTTTTTATTAAAAAACAATATCTAAATATTTATCAAGACTTACGTAAAGATTAATGGAGTAACATAACTATATGATGATTTTTAATTTTAAATATTTTTTTATAATTCATATAAATATTATTTTTTTAAAAAAAATAATATCTAAGTATTTATTAAGTAAGATTTACTTAAAAAATTATGGAGTAACATAATTATATATGATGATTTTCGATTTTTAATATTTTTTTTTATAAAATTTAATTTAAATAAATTTTGGGAGGGGCAAAGGGTAATTAACCACCCTAAGATTGAATGAGAGAGCTTAAAACTAAATTTTTACTTTGCATTTACTATATATGATGATTGAAGAGAGTATGGAAAGTATGTATTTTCTATTAAAATTTATATTTATTATTTATTGTTACTACACAGTAATTTTCAAAATAAATACAATAAACGACTAAGTTAATAATGATCATTTTTGTTAAAAAGATTGCGGTTTTTAAAACCTGAAGCACATTTTATTTTAGGTTTTTCAAAAACTCTAGAAATCGCCACCGTGATCATACCAATTTAGCCTTCTTGCCTCACATTTTCGTCACCGGGTGATTTACTTATTATTGAGTGATTCATATGGGAATTTGTGACTAGTTTATTGTGCCGATTTAGAGTTGATTTGATTAATATTTGATATTTTTGAATATACATATTTTATAATGTTCTCATACCAACATGATTTTAGTGGGTGACCCAAAAAAAAACCATAATTTTAATTATTGTCAATTATATTGTATATATCACTATCAAAATATATAAAGTTTTCATGATAACCGGTGAACTAACAAATGAGAATATATGATTTATGTAGGATTAAAAACGTAGGCTAATCAAACCGGACTAAAAATGCATTAACTGAATTTGATTTATATAAATTACTTAAGATATCGATTAAAAGAACTTTAATTAATATTTGATATTTTTGAATATACATATTTTATAATGGTCTCATACCAACATAATTTTAGTGGGTGACCCAAAAAAAACCATAATTTTAATTATTGTCAATTATATTGTATATATCACTATCAAAATATATAAAGTTTTCATGATAACCGGTGGACTAACAAATGAGAATATATGATTTATGTAGGATTAAAAACGTAGGCTAATCAAACCGGACTAAAAATGCATTAACTGAATTTGATTTATATAAATTACTTAAGATATCGATTAAAAGAACCCTTACTAAGGGTTATGAGACACATAAAAATGTCTCAACGTACCGTATTAAACAAATATATCCAAAAACTCAGAAACTTGAACAAACAAATACAACATTTTTTGTTTATGTTAGAAAATATTAGGCCAATATTTATTAATAATAATTCCTTTCAAATGTTTCTGGAGCTGGGGTTGCTCAGGCGGGTCGTGCCGGCCGGGCTGCTAGGGTTGTTGGTGGTCGGACTCATTCCAAGAGTGTTCTTCACCGCATCGGCGGCTTCCTGTGCCATGTTCTTCACTTGTCCACCGGTCTATACTCCAAAATCAATAGTAAAATTGCTAACTGATATCTATAAAAATAATAATGAAAAAAAAGAAGAAAAGTAAACCTGTTGGATGACATTAGATGCCTGGGAAAGTAGGGTAGGATTGTTCTGATCAGACTCTGAGTGTGTCAGTGAGTGAGTGAGATGATCGGCATTCTGGTTCATTGCTTGTGATACTTTGTTCAGGTATTCTTCCTTCTTCAACTATAATAAAGAAATGTATAATCATTATAAAAATTAGATACAGAAAATTGATTAATAGTCAAAATTAGGAAAATTAAATAAGAATATACAGTGGATGGGTGTTCACTCCCAGTTTAATTATATAATTACAACAAAGCAAGGACGATAGATTTTTCAGATATCTAAAACCGAACCGAATCCAGGTAAAATTAAACTGAATTCAAACTAAAATTTTAAAATATTGGAATAGATTTTAAATCTTAAATCCAAAAACTTGAAAATTTGAATATCTTAAACTAAACCCGATCAGATATCTGTAGACAGTTGGTGTGAAGGTGTTCATCTATTTGGTAAAACCATTGAAGGTAGTAGAAATGAAAGGGTTTGTGATTTTGGAAGGACTTTAATTAAGAGATTCGTTTTAATGTGAACTAGCTTTGTAGTCCTATATGCCTTTCAGGTGTTACTCACGAGATGAGAGAAACCCTAAAACCTGAATATGCCGAAACAAAGTCTAAGATGGTTTTGTTTTTTAAACGCTAGTTTTATTTTTTGGTCTTATTGTAAAGTTTACAAAAAAAAAGCAGTTAAATGACACAGTTACATTTTATCTATCTTTGTTTTTCATTTCATGTTGGAAGTTCAAAATCGACCGGCCCATAGTGTGTGTGATTAGGGCTGAAATTATTATTCGGTATCCGGTCTTTGATTTGGAATCCGTTTCTATCCAATCCGTAAAAACCGAATATCCGTGAAGTTCGGATCCGGATCCGAATAGTGAAATTAAGTATTCGGTTATTTCGGATACGGATCCGGATAATAGAAAATGTTGAAATTAGATATCCGTTATCCGTTTATTAAATATTTATTTATTTTGATAATATTTATTGAAATTCATATTGCATGATAATTTTCTATTTCAAATTGTGAGAAAAAAACATGAAAATGGATAATACATGGATATGAAGATAAATTAACTTCTCTATTACTATTTTCTCTTTTGCTATATAAATTTTTAAACTTTGTAGTATTTTAATGCTACTTGAATGCTTTTTTAATTTTTGCTATGTTGATACATTTGAATTATATATGTTATCTTATTATAGTTTTTAAAAATTGAATTTTTTTTTAAATCAACGAAACCGGATATCCGTAAATATTTGGTTCAAACCGGAGTTTTCGGATCCGGATCCGGATAGTAAAATTGATTAACCGACGAATCTAGATCCGGATCTAGATACTTTGAAAAGTCTGGATATCCGGCTCCGTTCCAACCCTAATGTGATATATATACAATATTCTAATGTACCTGAACTTGACCGGTGGCTTCTCCGGCGTTGTGGCTTAATTCTTGGCTCGATGACATCTTCTTTTTGGATCTGTGAATCTCTTCTACGAATTTATTTTTGAAGAATACTTTGAAGGGATATTGATAATATACATATTAAAGTGGTATTTATACAATTCGAAAGTAGTATTATTGTAAACTCCTGGATCTAAGGATTCCGCTGACACGTTGAAAATAAATTGACGATTGATATTAGGGCTAAATTTTGTGGAGATGAATGGTTTTAGGATGTATGACCCTAACTTTGCTTGGTAAAGAAATGGAGGAAAATGACTGGCGATAGGAAGATCTTAAACCTTTTTTTTCGGTGACATTGTTTGGGTAAAAGGTATTTCATTGCATCGATCGTAACTAGCTAATAAATATAGATAACAAACACACACACACAATATTGAGCAAATTTTATTATTACAACCAAAACATCATTATATTTATAAATCTTGTTGTCGTACGAATAAAATACCAGGGACGAAGTCCAAAAACTAATTAGCAGGAATTTTCTGCTAATTTATACGTACAATAACTTTCTTCATAGAAAAATCAAATTTGGATCCTCAATTACCTCGCCACCGACACATGAGGTAAGAGTTTTATTCTTGGTATCTTATCTAATATACATAGAAATTAGTCTTAATTTCTAGTGTACATAAATATGCTGTGAGAAAAAAAAAATTATATCCTAGTTTATCTAATTTATATGATTTAGTTAGTACCAGGTGGCGAAATGTTATGCACTAGAACAAAAAAAACGTAACTACCAAATATTTTAATGTGTAAATTGTATGACGATTGTTGCATAATGCATTAAGTAAATGAATCCATGTACGTGACTCGCCACGTATCTAGCATCTTCCGTAACTCATTTTTTTACTATATATAGCGTGGCATTTGCACATAGGTCGTCATCAAAAACAAGATAACCTAACATTCAACACTCTCACATTCTCCAAGTTTCGAACTTCGTCGCTCTAACCTAATCGCGACGCGTGGTTTAACACGTGTCGAGAAATCTGCAACATGTATCTTGTTCTCGGGCCGACCAAGACTTGCTATAAAATGTCTCAAACATAAGAGTCGGAGATATCTTCCAACACAGGTTCTGATAAACAGCTTTTGATCATCAATCAGCCTTTCGAGTTTCCACTAAATATTTTGGTTTCGAATTTTTCGACGAGAGAAAATGGCTTCTCATCAAGAACAGGGTTTCAAAGCTGGTGAGACCAGAGGCAAGACTCAGGTACTAAATGATTTCTTATGCAATATTAAAATATTTCGTAAATGATTTAGTTTAAAACATTTTTGCAAAAACTCTAGATAAAATAAAATGATGTTCTTAATTAGGTAAAAAAATAACAACGAGTGAAGCCACTATTATACGATATAGCGTGTTATTTGATAAAACAATCTATTGCTTGATTTTTTGATGATATTACTATAATGTGTAACTTCATTATAAAAGGCAAGTATTTATCTGATTTCGTATTTTTGTATCGACTGATTAGATATGTAAGTTAATTACTTTATTAACGTTTGTCCCATTTAAATACAATATCGAATCTTAGGAGAAAACAGGGGAAGCTATGAGAACGATGGGGGAGAAGACAGATGTAGCTAAGGACAAAACTCAAGGAGCAGCCCAATCAGCCCAACAAAAGACCCAGGAAACAGCTCAAGCAGCTAAAGACAAGGCATCTCAAGCCGCACAAACAACTCAACAGAAAGCTCAAGAGTCCAAGGACAAAACGGGAAGCTACATGTCAGAGACAGGAGAAACAATCAAGAACAAGGCACAAGATGCAGCAGAATATACCAAGGAGACTGCAGAAGCTGGTAAGAACAAGACCGGTGGGATCTTGGGCCAAACCGGTGAGCAAGTGAAGCAAATGGCCATGGGAGCTACTGATGCGGTTAAGCACACTTTAGGACTTGGTGCTGATGAAGGAAACAAAGAACATGATTCTTCAGCTCCAACCTCTACTACTACGACCACTACTCATGCGACAGAGAGGAAGTGAGATGAAGAGTTTTTTTCTGTTCTTGCTTTGTACGTTTGTTTGTTTTGATTTTGTTTTGTGTTGTGTGATTCTGCATGTTGATCTTTGTTGTTGTTTATTGGGTTTAAATGCGCTTATACGAACACTATTATGTAATGGTTTGGTTAATTAAATACTTGTTTTATCGGGTGAATAGATTTGTATTTGATGTGATTCTAAATTTGATTAGTATACACAACAATATTGATACAACAAGTTCTAATGATTTTAACAAATATTGTCATGTCATACATAAATCATTTATAAGAAATGTATATTGAATGGAATTATGCGTTACGAAAATATAATAAAACCTATCTAAAAATAGTATAAATAGATTGTAAATAGATTGTATGGTACACTTTGTTACGTACAATCTCAGTAGAAAATATTCCCTCCGGATTTATTTAGTTTTCGTATTAAGGTTATGCACATAGATTAAAAAAATATTAATTGTATTAGTTTTTAATATAAAAACATCATTAATTATTTATTTAAACATAATTCAATTAATAATAAACTAAATTACATAATAAAAATAATCCTAAAAAGTAATTGCATTGAAAACTGAAAACAACAACTAGAAACGACAACTAATAAAAAAGGGAAGGAATATTAGAGAAAAAAGGACGCAAAGAGAGAATAGGGCACATCAAAAGACAGGGAAAAGAGCGATGGTAGGTATGTACAATCTCAATTGATAGTTAAGGATATGTTACAATTGATATTTTGGTAGTACAACACTGTATGTATGGCTATATTATACCACTAACCCACTTTTTTTAATCAATATGTTATTTCACCAATTTTACTTCTTTCTCTTTTGTTTGTTCACCATTGACAATATAATAACCTTTTTATATGACATATGATATAACAGAAAACTGAAAATAAACTTCAGTTTTTGAAGGATAATAATGAAAAATACATTAACAATTATATAATTTATGAATAGCTAAGAAATAAAAATAAAAGCTATAACACTTGTAGGATAGTTTTATTCCATATTCTTTCAAGATGCAGAGTTTAGCTATATCCTTATCAGAGCCTAAAATATTGCGGGAGTGCTACGCGAAGATCATTCATGACGTGATCCCTGCATATGACATAACCCAAAATTCAGAGAAGAACAATATGTTAAAAGATAGTAATAACTAAAATATATATGAGTGAAAAAAATAAAGTAATTTATAAATATAGACCCTCCACATTATTTGTGAATGATTGGAAATCCAGCCAAGTGAAGGGAGTCAGCGCAGATGCGTGCAAATGCCGAGAAAGCTACATCATCAGCTGCAAGTGACACAACAACGACAAAAAAAAACCCCCAAGAATTAGCATGATCTCGCGATTGTTTTCTAAATACTTACTTAAATTGTAAAGAAGACATATATATATAATTTAATTTATTATAAAACATACAAGTCCCATATGTAAGTAAGATTAGCGATCCGGCACGAACAAAAGTCCCAAAGGCAGAATACATATCGTTTCGCAAGGTCTTACAAGATTATTGATCGATTTTGGTTTTCCATTAGTAAAAGGTATATACGAATAGTTAAATAAAAAATTGTGAAAAACTACATCAGGGCTTGAGGAGCTTACGTCCAGCTAGGAAGCCAACCGTTGATCCCTACAACAATTTTTAGGTTTATGGTGACTCCTCCAAAGGTATAGTTACTCGCAAAGTAGAGAGCTTGTGCTGCAACCAAGCCGACACCTCCCACACCTTTAATAACTATACCAAAATCAACATTAAAGTATTAATTATTTAATCATATATATGTATTTGATGTATAGATAGTCTAAACTATGCATGTTAAGTGTAGATAATTCCGAATTACCATGTTCTGGTTCGGAAGAGAAAAGGCCAGCAACAAATGAATTCACATTATCTAAAGCTTCAAAATCATGATGCATGCTCTCTGAAACTTTTGTGATATCGCACCCTGATTCACCATAAAGAATTATGAATACTGTATTATTAGTTTTCCATTTTAATTAGTAATATTTTAGAGACATCAAATACTGATTTAGAAGAAACAAAATAATATATGTATATCTATAGCCAATTAATCGTACATGCAGTGGTTTCTTCTCCACCCAAAGAAGTAACACGGCGTGTAGGAGCAGTCGGACAAATCCATTTTATCTATGCCAAATCATATATTTTTATTAGAAAATTCATAGTTTCCATTGTGGCTATATATAAAAAGAAATTAAATTCATGGCAAACACATGTATCTGTATCGATCCTTACATTGGGAAGACCCAAACTTTGCAGAGGCTGAACTGAGCTGCATACATAATAAATTAATTAAAAAATATATAATGTGTATAATATGTAATGTATATACAACTTTAGTGAAACGAACTTATTATTATCTAACAAGAAAAGAAAATAGAGAGGAAATGTACAAAATTCGAGAATTTTGAAAACAAAAGAGCATATATTTTACGAAAAAAGAGAGCATATAAAACAATACAAAACAAAGCATGGGAGACAATGAGAGTGTTACTCGACGCCTTTGAGCCCGATGTCGTGCAGCCAGACTATAGTGGCTTTATGAACTCCTATAGGCTCAACAATGTACACGTTGTTCATAACTCTACTACATGTATATATATGTGGTTATCATACGTAAATTTACTAATTAGTTTCACGCAGAAAATATGTAACGAGAAAATAGTCGAGCAATTTTGATAACTATGGAAGAAGCATGAATAATCACAAGGAAAAAACATAACCAGATGCCATTTTTGACGAGAAGAATTTCTTGTTTTTTAACCGTATTTTTTTAATTTATCTCAGAAGCTTTGAGAGATGGAAAATATAAGAAAAGGTAAGGCAAGACATTGTATATTTATACAACAAATGAGTCATTACTTATTTGCTTTTTAGGAAAAAATAGACCACATCCCTAAATTAAGTTAGAAATCTTACTATCACTAATTGGGTAGAAAATGTTTTCAAAACAAAATCTTCATCAAAGGCATAATTTATTTAAAACAATTAATAATATTTGTCAGTTATTTCACAAAACTGACGAATTACAGCAAAAAAAAAAACTTAATTGGGTGGAACACAATCCATAGATCTTATTCTATTAGATGCACAAGAATACCATATATATAATAAAAGAAAACACTTAGCACCTCATCAAATATGTTTTAATGAATTTATAACTTTTATCTTACTATTACTAATTAGTTTTGTCTAAACACTTTAATACACTTTCCATATAAAATGTCACAAAATCTATGTATTCAGTTTTTTTTCCTTAATATAAAGTTTTTAGATTTCAATGATAATCTAATGATATATGATCTATATTTTTCTTTCTTAAAAGTATTTTTGTTGGATTTCTATATCAATGGTTTTTTCCAACATGGTGACTTTTTTAAAAGATTGTGGTCTTTTATTTTCAAATTATTTAAAAATCAAAGAGTTCTAAATTGTCTTCTACACGTGTAATTGGTATCTGAAGCACAGTAACTTCACCATCAATATTAAATGATAATAACGATATAGTTTCTTCTAAATTTTGGAACTTTTTCGATCATCACTATATACATTTGTCCCTTCATCGTTAGAAATAAAGAAGTCGTAAATCTTGCTCGATCTCTTCTCCTATGCGAGATTTTGATGTAAGATTAGAAGCCACAAAACTTAAAGCACATAAAGATTTAAAATTACATATATTGATGGATGAAGAGAATGTTGATATATAATACACTTAGATTGTGTAAGGTCCAAATATATCAATGGACAAAGGACTTAATCTAAGAGATTTCCTGGGATGGATCAAGGATTTCCTCCCATGACCAAAAGTGGTTTGATTTACATACACTCTAAATAACAAGAACACAAAAAAATAAATAATTTCACTTATAAACTTTACAGAATAAAACAGAAAGACAAAGCTTTAAAAAAGAAAAAAAATTGATTTGGACCAATCTTGCGTCCAATCTACTCATCGATAGCTTCTCCACAGATTAAGATAGTCTGGTTCTTCTCCTCTCTGACTCAACGCTAAGTTCAACTCCTCTATTCTTATTCAGATATGTCTTCCAACTGGCAGTACACACTATTTGGCACGAGCAAAATGGAAGAGGTCAGAGTGATCAACCACAATCACCGCTCCAGCTAATTCGCTTTATCGACAAGGGAATGTTCCCTTGTGCAGAACAGAGTTTCTTCCATCCGAATGACGAGTGGTACCAGATACGATGATGGTCTAACTTGGTGGTTCTCCACCCGCTAAAGTTTCAGAGTCCAACTAGCACAAATTTCTAGTCTAATTTTGCTTTGATTTCAATTTTTTAGAACCACATAAGCATTCTTTGTAAAAACGCTTTTTTGATGAAATTTTACATTTTTTTTATAAAAAATAAAACAATTTGATTTATTGACTATTAATAAAATGATTCATGAATATTACAAGGGAACTTGGACAGTTTTAATTATTACATTACATCTAGTTTATAAATTCGGTTTCGATTAAGTCTGGACCTGAATGGATCAGGTCTTGGTTCACCGTGTTAAGTGAATAATTTTGGCAGATTCAACTACTAGATGTAAAGATTGGTGAAAATATAATAAAACACAATTTTATTGATGAAATGACATTATTAGTGATGATTCAAAATTTACATAACCAAATTCTCATTAAAAAAGTCATTGATGATTATAATCGGATAAGAACATATATACATAGTCGAGAGGTTTGTAATAGTGTCGTTGATGTATCTCAATTTAAATTCAAATCTACATTATGATGGTCTAAATCGTGCTCCGTGGTAAATTTTAATAGTAATATTATGTTGTTTTATTTTACTTTGTAATCCGAACTTTTTTTTGGTAATGATAATAATGGAATATTTTGGATAATAAAATGGAAAGCAATTTTTGTTTTTCACTCATATAACTTTTCTTATTCATCTGAGTATCATTGAACCCAAAAAAGAAAATAATATAAAACGGAGTTTGTCTCCGAATAACAGAGTAGCAGAGACTGAATACTAAATAGAAATACATGAGCTCCAAAAACAGAGGTGAGCAACAGATAGAATAACAAATTTTAGCGTAATAATAAGTCTTTGTTTTCTTATTAAAGAACGTAACTACTCACCCTGGGCATAAGAACCAGAACCGAAATACCGAATCGGAACCGACCCGAAATTTTTGGTTCGGTTCGGTTTCGGTTATTGCCTAAATACCCATTGGATCTCATATCTAAGATCCATGGATATCGGTTCGGATCCGGTTATTACCCGGAACCGAAAATACCGAACCGAATACCCGAAAATTATGTATAAGTTTGGGCCATTACTCATTAATATTAAACAATTAGTTTGCTACAAATCTAATATTGGCCCATTAGTAATTCAAAGTCATTTTTACAAAATTGATCTAGCCCATTATCCACAATTCGACACATATTCAAAGAGGGAAAAAAAAGACATACACAAAACTATACACCTACACATGCAACTTATCGTTGTAAAAAGAAAAACAGTTTCTCTTTTTTCTCTCGTTAGTACTTAAAAAATTAACTCTAAATCATTCAGAAAAACTGAAATCCCTAATTTTCAGTCGCTGTAGCATTTCTTCGCCGACACAGCCATCTGCTACGTTAAAAAATCAGTCGGGGTATGCTTCTTTTCCATCTCCTTCTCATCTTTGAATTTATTTGGGTTTGGGGTTTACTGTTTATAGCTAAAATCGATTTTGGGGCTAACTGTTTCTGTTTGTTTAAATTTTAAATTGATCTCATTTCCTCTTTGTTTTTTCGTTTTTACAACGAATTACTCTTGAATAATCGAGTCTATAGAGTCTCTTCACTTAGAAATAGATTTAGGGTTTACTATTTATATATGAAATCCATATGATGTTAACTGTGAGTCTAATATCTGAGATTATGAGTGCTAACTTCTTCTTTGTTAATGATTCTAATAATTTTTTTAAGTCTTTTTGTTTTGTTTTTGCAGTTTCAGGTCACAAGAGTCGCAAGTCATGCTTCTTTTTTGTTATTTGGTTATTTTGTTAACAAAATTTTTTTGGGTATTTAAGAACCGAAATCTTTTGGGTATTTTACGGTTCTCATCCTTCATACCCGAACCGATCCGGAACCGAGAGGTACCGAACCGGAACCGAACCGAAAACAATTCAATACCTATATGAATCTAAAACATGAGAACCGAAATATCCGGAACCGTTCGGTTCTTACCCGGAACCGAACCGAATATCCGAAAGCCCAGGGCTAGTAACTACCTAAGTCTTTGTATAAAATCCATGTACGTGACTCGCCACGTATCTAGCATCTTCCGTAACACCATTTTTTATTATGGCGTGGCACCTCTACATAGGTCGTCATCAAAAACAAGATAACCTAACATTCAACACTCGCACATTACTCCAAGTTTCGAACTTCATTTCTCTAACCTAATCGCGACGCGTGGTTTGACACGTGTCGAGACATCTGCAACATGTCTCTTGTTCTCGGGCCGACCAAGACTTGCTAAAAAATGTCTCAAACATAAGAGTCGGAGATATCTTCCAACACAGGTTCTGAAAAATAGCTTTTGATCATCAATCAGCCTTTCGAGTTTCCACTAATTATTTTGGTTTCGAATTATTCGACGAGAGAAAATGGCTTCTCATCAAGAACAGGGTTTCGAAGCTGGTGAGACCAGAGGCCAGACTCAGGTATACTAAATGATTCATCTGCTATATTACAATAATATTTTTCAAAAAAATAAAGTAAAATAAAAATGGTGTCAGTTTGGTCAAAGAAAAATGCCACTAGTTTACGATATATCGTGTTCTTTAATTGATAAACAGTCTGTTCTTTATATTTCTGAAAACATGTTTTCTCATGAGTAACTTTTCTTATATAAAGAAAAGCATAGGTCTGTTTTATGCATGATTAGCAACAAAAGATTGTTGAAAACCAATGTGTCTATGTTGGAATTCAGATAATCAAAGAATAAGATATAGACAGGTTGAATAGGAGTGACAATAACACAATAGCCACAATCTATTCACATATTTTAAGTTAATTACTCTATCAACCTTTGTTTGAATGTAAATCCAATATCAAATCATAGGAGAAGACAGGACAAGCTATGAGAGCGATGGAGGAGAAGACAGATGCAGCTAAGGACAAAAATCAAGGAGCAGCCCAATCAGCCCAACAAAAGACCCATGAAACAGCTCAAGCAGCTAAAGACAAGGCATCTCAAGCCGCACAAACAACTCAACAGAAAACTCAAGAGTCCAAGGACAAAACGGGAAGCTACATGTCAGAAACAGGAGAAACAATTAAGAACAAGGCACAAGATGCAGCAGAATATACCAAGGAGACTGCAGAAGCTGGTAAGAACAAGACCGGTGGGATCTTTGGCCAAACCGGTGAGCAAGTGAAGCAAATGGCTATGGGAGCTACTGATGCGGTTAAGCACACTTTAGGGCTTGGTACTGATGAAGGAAACAAAGAACACGTTTCTTCAGCTCCAACCTCTACTACTACCAATACTCATGCGACAGAGAGGAAGTGAGATGAAGAGTTATTTTCTGTTCTTGCTTATACGTTTATTTTTATT